TCAATAAGTTTTCTTTATTATTTTTTTCTTAATGATTCCACGCTGATAAGCCCTCAAGGGGGCAGTTTGTTGTGCCTCCCATTTTAAAAGTTGTTATCATCGAAAAGTGTGGGACACTACACACGTACATAGCCCTAGATTAAATTGAATCAATGAATTTGAATTCGCAGAAATTCGATAGCAATCAAAAGAGAAGCATGTTCGATGTACATGGCCATATAAACTAGTTAGCCTGCATTTTTTTCGTTTGTCTCGTTGGAATTTTTGCATGAAGTCATTCCTCACCGTCGAATGCATGTGTACATAACACCTGCCCATAAATAACGGGCGGTGAGCAACGAGGAACGGAATAAAAACGAAAACTAAAACGGAAAATTTCAATTTTCACTGTGCAGCGTTTTTCCATGTTCAATTCTATTTTATTTGCCCATAAATACGGAATGAAAATAGCTGGTTACTGTGCGGGACAGTCGGACAGATAGATAGAATGGGGGTTGCTGGAAAAGTCAGCGTTTATCTCACAGATACACACCGCAGAAGTACGCGAAATAGCATTTACCTCGACCATTAGATGCGCTTTGATCAAGTGGAAAGATGTGATAAGGGAAACCCGTTTCGCATAGTATAAAATGCACTTGAGCGAAGGCTTTAACGAATCTTTTGTGTATCATAAAAAATATATACATTTTCCAACGCTGCAACTAATCGCTTATACATATCCTAAGCCTAACGGAAAGATATTTTAATCTAGGTAAGCAACAATGTTGATCAAGTAAAACAACACCATATGCTCCCGTATTTATTGACATAGTTTTGATTAGTTTGTCTTATAGCGAACTGTTCCCATTAGAGTCAAATGCACATGCAGAACCAAACAACGTGAAAAATCAAACAAGACGATAAGTGAGAAGAAAAACAACTGCTTGGCCGGAAAGATAATGGCGGGCAGCAAGTAAGATCGCCCGATCCTGATCGAGAACATATACTTTATGAGGTCGCGCGAGAACAAAATGCCCTCGCATTCCACTAGAACGCGTTCTAGGGAAAGAGTAGCGAAAATAAACAGCGGCTACAATTTTGAAAGCAACAACGACAACGAAAATAATTGCACAAATGAAACTGAGGGAAAAAGACGCGAAAAAGCAAAAATTAAAACGAGCACAACATGGCGAGCAAAACGAAGCTGCCGCCGACGTGTGCGTTATTTAAATGATTTTGCCCGTTTGCCTCGCCGTGGCTGTCTCAATTTAAATGTTTTTTATAGCCTGCATTCGGCGACTGCCACTCCCCACGTTTTCAGGGGGGCAGATTCAAAAGGGGCTCCAAGGGGCCACCAAACCGACTGAGACCCGTTTGCCAAACTGAGACGGAAAATCCAATCCAATCCAAACCAAACCAAGCCGCATCACACACCGCACACCACACACCACACCAAAACGAAATGAAACGAAGCGAAAAAGTAAACAAAATCAACAAACACAATTAAGGCAAAGGCAGAAATCGTTTAATTTATTCTTCATGCGTATGAAAGCGAAAATACAATTTGAGCTTTGCCTCTTTTTCGCTCTTCAATTTTTCATGTGCTCCTTTTGCATATTGCTCATACGACGCGTTGACTCAGTCGGACTTTCAGAGCTCACACGGAAAAAAATACTTGAAAGCATGCAAATAATTGCTAGCATAACAGTACAACAGTGTTTCTATAATAAAACGTATAGCTGCTGTTTTTTAATTTACTGGGTAATGAAAATATCGTTATAGCTCTAAATAGCCTGTGAGTTTCATTTACTGACTCACTCCAGAATTCGCATACTTAATAGCCAAGTCATATTCACGTTTCGTATTAGGATCAACTTTTATTTTATTCAAAATACTTATTCAAAGAACTGTTGAAAGTTTTACCAGTAAAAAAAAAAGCCTTTACTCCTGTGTCTCTTTTAAAAACGAAATTGGAATTGGTCACCTGGGGGAACCAGAAACAGAACCATTTACCTTATTGAATTCCCGGAAAATTCCGCGTTTCCCCCCCTCGGCGACTTAATTGCTTTCACTTCCCACGACCATTGTCTTGGCATCTCCGTCTTATTGTTACCATCGCCATCGCCATTTACTTGGCCATTTGCCGCACTTGCAGCGCGTGCGTGCTGGCTGAAAAGCGCGATTTGAGGGCACTGTTACAAGGCTGCCCGGCCTAGTCGTTATGTCTCTGACTGTCTGAGATCTACCGCCCCCGTTCCACCGCGCCCCGCATCTCCCCCTGGCAGCCCGAATTTGGCCAGACATCGTCTCAGATTCACAAGCGCGTTGGCAGTTGCATTCTGTGTGTTTGGCCGACTGCTAAACTTGGCTTGGTCTAGGTGTTTATTGGAGCACGACGAATGCGTGCTGAATCCGTGCTGGGTATTGCTGGGTATCTGAGCGCTTGTGCCGCGGCTTCTGAGAACAAGTTGGCTCAGCGACATCCAGCTGGGAGTTGAACTTTGGCACTTAGTTTGCTCCAAATAGACAAAGGGGGCTAGTAACAGTGCAATCAAGTTATTCGACTGTGACACATAACTCAGCTACTTATTCACTTATATATAGCCAATCAAGCAAATTAAAATGCATATCAGAATTGTATAATTATTTTAATTAATTATTTAACTGCATAAATTTCCGAAACATTCCTCATGAACTAAATCGATAAGAGAGACGTGCAGACCATACAAGACTTCCCCTTGGCCCTTTTTCCCCCTAGGAATCTTCAAAGCCTTTAACTCATTGCCACAGGCCAGGGAAAAAGTTTAATTGGCTTATCAGGGGAAATCGAATTCTAGGGCGTGCCTCCCAATCACCCCACACCCAGCTGGTTTCTTCGCGTGATAACGTTGCCTCCGCCGCCTCTGCATTGATAAGCAATCAGAAAAGCCGTCGAGTTAATGTAAATAAGTAAACCTAATGCCCGACACTTGGTACCCATGACTACGGGCCTAATTGACTTGGCCCAAAACAAATGATTGATGGCTTTCTCAGGCAGCAAGTGGCAGAAACAGCCAAATGTTTGTACACACATTTATATACATACATAATTGGTGCCAATAAAACTGTAGACAACACATGTCGCATGGAAATGTTCGTTTGTATATGTGCAGGGCAATCGAAGTCGAAGCAAAAGTATGCGATGTTCGGATGGACAACTCTTTTGGGGCTAGGCCAAAGGTCGAGCAAGGTCACGGTCGGCGATTACCGCACATGGGCGTGAATACTTCGGATTTTCCCCTTGATCTGCCCCGAAATAGTTGGTGCAGTCAAGCTTTTCCCCAGAATTAACCACTCTCGTTTGCGTTTCTGTTTTTAGTTTTTCGCATTTGCACAATTTCTAAACTTTATGCGGCAATCGCACGCAGCTCTTGCTTTTGTTTTGCTCATGATGTTTGGACATAAAACTTATTATAATTTATTAATTACCAGCAGCGTTTTGGCTTTGATAAAAGAAACACAATTTCGGTAATGGCCAACGGGCACGCAATCGAGCTGGGCAAAGCTCGGCAAAGAAACGAGAAATAATTCATAAAATAAAAGATATACGAGTACTTCGTCTACAGCCTTTTGCTTTGACATTATTCATGACTTTCTCTCCCCTTTTTGTTGGCCTTTCAAATGGGTCAAGAGTGAATGACTATATTTCTGTGTGGAAATTGTGGGAGTCCCAGGAAATTAAAATGGAAAAGCATTTTGCTATTTAATTAAAGAAGATGCAGCGAAGAAGAATATTTGGAATATTTGTACTCTACTTCTGCTGAAGTCTGCTGAAGTGAGTGGACTTAAATGAATACATTTCAGCTAGAAAGTTTCAAGATTTACAACCCACAAACATTTTGTGTGTAAATTCACGTTAAGCACCGAGAATTCCTTTGAACGTAATTGGTTTGCATTGCTACTATCAGCTGTCTGGCTTGTCTGTTGAGCAGATTAGACCCGTCTCAACTTCGGTTGCCTGCTACAGTTAACGTTTACGACCGCATTCTGACGCTTATTGCAATTAATGATTTCGATGTTTACGGGTATTTCTGCCCGGGGGGCTCACTCCGCCTGTGAGTAAGTGGTCATGCTCGAGTATCTTTTTGAGAAAACATCACGTACTATAGGTTTTGGGAGTCGCAGGGGAACCATCCGCATACCCGTATACCACATCACATCGCAATAAGCCAAGTCACCGAGGGAAACTAATTAAAAGAATTCCGTGTACGGGGCAACTGTCGCGGGCAGAACAATTGACGGACGAGCTGAAATGCCTTTTGTCTCATAATCAACTCTCCGCCACTCAACTCGCTCTCCTTAAAAAAAGCAAAAACATTCCACTGAAAGCAATCAATCAATCAAGCCTCTCGTCCATCAATCTCGAGCTAAAGTCAAAACAAAAACAAACACAAACCTAGCATACCCTTGCCCTGAATACCCTTCGCTTTCACTCCGCCAACGAATCGTTACCCGTTACCGAAGAAAGTCCGGAACACAGTCAATAGATTAATATCTCGTCCGGCAAATATGGTGAGAAATAGCCTTCTGTGTGAATTTGCAAATTGATATATGGCATACTAAATTAGGAACTCGCCTTTCCCCATATATCTCAGTAAGTCAATAGTAATTCCTCTTCATAAACCATTCTATATGTGGCCAGAAGAAAAGTTGTAATATGCCATTTGCAAATGAAATAAAGCACATATTGTAGTTATTTACTTAGATTCAGAGTTTGAAGAGCAGAAAGAAAACTGTGCTATCAGTAAGATTAGGCGTGAATAAGAATGTTGTTATTAGCAATAAATAAAACGAGTGAATTATGAAGTAAACAAACTTTTCAAATTTGAAACCCAGACCTACGAACCGGAATGTGGTATTTGCCTTTCCTTGCTGATTAAACCTACTGAACTATTTGGGCTCGACTAAGTTACTCGGATCGAAGGGTTCCTAACTCACTGTATATCTTTCCAACAGTATTATATAATAACAAGTGTACTTACGTTGATGTAAATTGTTGTGTGTGGTGAGAAATCCAATGCTGGCAATAGTGTGGATGTGGAGTAGATGCGGATAGATAGGCAGACGAAGATGAGGCTGTAGATTTGTGTTGTGGGGCTGTTACAGTTGTTGTAGTTGTAAGTAGTAGACATATAGACAAGACGACGACAACGACGATGAGGACGTGGTCCGCGATGCCACGGCGGTGGCAACAGCAGGAGCAGTTGCAGATACAATCGCAGTAGCGGATACAATTGCAATTGCAGTTGCAGACGCCTGCAGAACGAGGGGATTGGGCTGACTGGCGAAGAGCTCCTCTAGAATTCAGCAAACTCCTTGGCACACTTCTCGGTGCTGGAGATCCGCAGCGCCTCCTCCTCGTAGTCATCGAAATTGCTCGTGTCGCCGGGACCCTTACACCGCGGAATGAACGGCGCCTCGATTTTCTTTTGGAAGATCGCAATCCAGTCGGTGGAGGCGAACCACTTCTGGTTCTTAATATCATTGACGCCCGCCTTCAGATTGCCGTAGCGCTTGGTCAGATCCACCTGCAGCAGGTTGCGCAGCAGGTCCTTCAGATCGGAGCCAAAGTGCGACGGGAAGCGCACCTTGCCGGAGACGATCTTCTCGTAGATCTGGATCGGCTGATCCGCAAAGAACGGCGGATAGCCGGCGGCCATTTCGTAGACGAGTACGCCCAACGCCCACCAGTCGACGGCCTTGTTGTAACCCTTGGACAGAATGATCTCCGGGGCCAGGTATTCGGGCGTGCCGCACAGCGTCCAGGTGCGGCCCTTGACCCGCTTGGCGAAACCGAAGTCCGTCACCTTGAGGTAGCCCTGCGAGTCGATCAGCAGATTCTCCGGCTTCAGATCACGGTAGATGAGGTCCAAGTAGTGCAGGTACTCGAAGGCCAGCACGATTTGCGCCGCATAGAAGCGCGAGTGCGGCTCCGAGAAGCGGCCCACCTTGCGCAGGTGGGAGAACATCTCGCCACCGGGAACATACTCCAGCACCATGTAGAGGTTGGAGTTGTCCTTGAAGTGGTAGCGCAGCGAGACGAGGAAGGGGAACTGGATGGCCTGCAGGATTCGCTTCTCGTTCAGCGTGTGCTCCACCTGCTTCAGCTTGACCACCTTCTGCTTGTCAAGGATCTTCATGGCATAATAGTCTTTCGTGGGCTTGTGCTGGACGATCATGACACGGCCAAAGGAGCCGGTGCCCAGGGTCTTGATCCGTTCGAAGTCATCGAGGGCGGCGGTGTTGGTCGGATTGCGTCGCCACTTGTCCTCGAACTCCTCCTTGGCCTGCTCGAGGAACTCCTTCACCGTCTCGGCGGCATCGACCTTCTTGTTCGACGTGGTGGCGTTGTTGCCCATCTTGGAGATGGTGCCCGTTAGCGATGACAAACGGAACGTTGCGCTGGCCGACACTTGGGCCTGATCGTCGCCGGAGCTACTAGGTCCTCCTCCCCCTCCTCCGCTGGCTCCTCCTGAATCCGCCCCGGAACCGGGCGTGGTCGTGGCGGCGGGGGGCGTGCTCTTGTGGGCGGCGGCTGCTGACGAGGGGCCGCTGCTGCTGCTGCTTGCCTGGTCCGCTGGAGGTCCCGCTGCCGCTGCCGCTCCTCCCGCTGCCGCTCCGCCCTCCTCCTCGCAACTGGACTGCGCCTGTAGCTTGCCCTCGCCGGATGTGGAACTATGATGGGACTTTTTCTTTTTGAGGAACTGCAAAATGGACTTAGCTATTTTGCCGAGTTACGGGTCAACGGTGCGGATGAAATAGTTGCTCCTTCTGGGCCAAAGAGAGCTTCTCACTGGAGCTCTCTCTCTCACTTATTCGCTGAATATCCTTTTGAATTGGTTTCTAGGTTTGGTGTTTAAAGGCGCTTGGTTTAGACGCGTTTAAATTCTGGTTTTAGCACGTATTGGTTTCTTTTATTTTTGAGGTCTTAAACTAGTTTTACACTTTAGGCTTAGACTAACATTTGGTTTCACACTTTAGGTTGCTTATGATCGCGATTTACTCTAATTTGAGAAGCTGCAAAGAGAAACGGGAGAGAAAACGGCACAAATTAGCGGGATATTCGGTAAGGAGCTAAAAATAAGAGTCCAGTTTTCAGAGTTCTTTATCCATACATATGGATATGTAGGCACATATATACATATATATATTTTAATTTATTTATATATGTATCTTCTTCTCTTTTAGATATTTCACTTCATTTTGTTTGTGTTCTCACAGCGCTTTGCTGGCACTTTTATGGTGCTTAAAAAAGCTGGTTATAATCACTGAATAAATAAGCTTAACAAAATCGCACACAAACTCGAAATTCAGAAAATAATAAAAAGAAGAGAGCAGAGGAATGGCAAAGAGAGCGAGAGGAGAGAAGAGGAGAGGAGGCGACTTTCGATCGTGTCAAGTGTCAAACAGCTGATGCTATAGTGCCCGCTCACTCCCACTCACGCACTGTTACGCAGTGCTGCTTCCTCTTCCTCGCGCATTCCCTCTCATTTCAGCCTATTTTAATTATTAAATACTTTTTTTTGGCACCGTTTTGCTTTGGCTTCTGTTTTTTCATTTTCATTTCCTTTGCCTTTGCTTCTTTGCGTTCACTGGTGTGCGTGTGTGTGTGTGCATGTGTGCGAGTTAATGTGCATATGTATGCGCTTCTGGTTTTACTTTTGCGATCTCTTTTCGGCGCTCTCTTCGTAGGCACTTTTCCACATTTCGCACACTTTAAATTAGTTAAATTGGCCTTTATTGCTCGGTGTGCTAAATTTTCGCCATTCGATTTGGGCATAAAAAATCCCGTGGTTTAAACAAACACAATCGCACACGCATACACACACACAGCGCTCACTCACACGTACGCACACACACACACAACCGCACACAGATTGAATAATCGATTTTTTACATTCATTTCCTTTTTCTGAGTTTGTTTGACTTTGCTTTTCGATTTTCGCTGCGCGAACCTTTACCTTTTTGCAATTAACGACTACGATGCCAGCGATTTGTAAACACTATTCAGAAATATTGCCTCGACTTTCCGATCGATTTGATGCACTGTAGCTGTGGATTGATGGCTTAGATTAAAAATACCCGCATAGCCGCCGAACCGAGTTTTCCCGTCCAAATCGTTCAAAGTTTTTTTTTCGACTGACGCGACTCGCGAATGCGCCCCCGCACGCAGGTGTGAGCAGGCCAGCGATAGGCAGTTCGCTCGGCGCGAGCGCTGCGGCGCAGCCATGAGTAATCCCTACTGCGTGGGTGCTATTCCGGCCGAAATTTGAGGTGGTGATAAATAGCAAGCGGTTTTCCAAAAAATTAATAAAATACCTTTACAATATAATTCAACTAGGGCTTTCTAACTTAATTGTTACGCTTTAAGAATACTAAGCTGCATGTTTTACCAGTGTGTTTCTTTATAACTTCAAGCTCATTGGTACTGCAGATTTAATATAAAATCCATAAATATGGCATTACTGTTGGTTTCGTAAGGTTCATGAAAAGCTATGTAACATATTCAGAAGAACTCCTCATTTAAAAACATAATATTGGGGAATTTCCCAAAACGATCGCAAGTATATTTAAGCCAGGGCTGCAGAGAGCCCATATTATCCGTTGCGATTAATACCGCCTAGGAACAGTATGACCAGACTGCATGCTTGGTATTTCTGAGCTAGCTGCGAACGGTCCTCTAACGCCAACGCACGTGTTTTGAAAACGATTTCAATTATTCTGCAATTGCCCTCAGTGAAGCAACAAGCGGAGAGGTTGCATTTTGAAACACGTTTTTCCGGTAACAACATACAATATACAAGCCAATATGGTGAGTTGATATGCGGCAGCCATTGAGAGATGTAAATTACAATACATTTCCCGATCCTTGCAGACTGAGGAAGTGAATCCCAAGGCATTCCCACTGGCCGATGCCCAGCTCACGGCCAAGATTATGAATTTGCTGCAGCAGGCATTGAATTACAACCAACTGCGCAAGGGAGCCAACGAGGCCACCAAGACCCTCAACCGTGGACTGGCCGATATTGTGGTGCTGGCCGGAGATGCGGAGCCCATCGAGATTCTGCTGCATTTGCCGCTCCTCTGCGAGGACAAGAACGTGCCCTACGTCTTCGTGCGCTCCAAGCAGGCCTTGGGTCGTGCCTGCGGCGTTTCCCGGCCAATCGTCGCCTGCTCGGTGACCACCAACGAGGGCAGCCAGCTCAAGTCGCAGATTACCTCCATTCAGCAGGAGATCGAGCGACTCCTAGTCTAGTATTTTTTCCCTTAAGTGAACATACGTACAAATTGGTAATTTCAAATTGAAATTTTGAATAAACATGTGTATTTTTTAATGCATATTGGGTTTCTAATTTTGCTTTCCGACGCACATGGCCTGTTTGGAGTGACCGTTTTTCGGTCACCGGATACTAAGCCAGAAAATACCGGAAAATACCGTGCCTAAGGCTCAGCTGGTTCAGCCGGCAGTGCTGGCAAATAAATAAGCTGGTTTGGCTTAAGCTTTTATCATTTAGCTGAACATTGAATCAGGCCCAAATGCAATATTCACACAATAAATATTCATACAAGATTTATTTTTATGCATAGGCTATCTCGTAGTCATTGAACTTAGTGGATGATCAATCTGAAAAGCAGCTTATGCAAGAAAGCCAATCTGGGCGTGAAAAAGCTAGTCGCACAGCACTGCTCGCCCCAGGTGAATGCCACTTGGCCGCCGATTCCACTGACCACAACCGTCGCCACACCATCCTGCCGATCCGATCAGCCGTGTGAACTTAGCAACTGCGTGGACCCAATGACAACGATGCACCGCCGCCTTTGTGAACCGAGGGAACCACTGGAATCTGGATGCAAGTGACAAGCGGCGAGCGGAATCAAAGCACTCGGTACAGAGGCAGTGCCTGCCAACGAAACTAAAACCAAATCCTGACCAGCAACGAGACGGGATGAAGCTGCTGGGCAAATACGTGGACAAGGGCATGCAGGGGTGAGTGATTGCCCACGGAGTTTTCAAATAATTTATTGTATTGTATCAAAATGTATTTAGAAATGTAACCCTGATGCCCGAGGAGTCGGAGGACATGTGGCATGCCTACAATTTGATTGCGGAAGGCGACAGCGTGCGCAGCACCACCATTCGCAAGGTGCAGAATGAAACGGCCACTGGCTCCTCCACCAGCAATCGGGTGCGCACCACACTAACCATCGCAGTGGAGAGCATAGATTTTGATACGCAGGCCTGTGTGCTCCGGCTGAAGGGCAGAAACATTGAGGAGAACCAGTACGTCAAGATGGGCGCCTATCACACCCTCGACCTGGAGCTGAACCGCAAGTTCGAGTTGCGGAAGCCGGAGTGGGACACCATCGCCTTGGAGCGCATCGAAATGGCCTGCGATCCCACACAGTCTGCGGATGTGGCCGCCGTGGTGATGCAGGAGGGATTGGCACACGTCTGCCTGATCACTGCCAGCATGACTTTGGTGCGCAGCAAGATTGAGGTATCCATACCGCGCAAGCGCAAGGGCAGTGTCCAGCAGCACGAGAAGGGACTGGCCAAGTTCTATGAGCAGGTTATGCAGAGCATCCTGCGGCACGTCAACTTCGACGTGGTCAAGTGTGTGCTGATTGCGTCGCCGGGATTCGTGCGCGATCAGTTCTACGACTACATGTTCCAGCAGGCTGTCAAGATGGATTACAAGCTGCTGCTGGACAACAAGAGCAAGTTCATGCTGGTGCACGCCTCCTCGGGATTTAAGCACTCCCTAAAGGGTGAGCCATTTACCCCTATGAAGTGATCCCTATTAAGCCCAATTTGTATCTCCAGAGGTTCTTCAGGATCCCGCCGTGCTGGCCAAGATGTCTGACACCAAGGCAGCTGGCGAGGTCAAGGCCCTGGAGCAATTCTACATGATGCTGCAATGCGAGCCCGCCAAGGCCTTTTATGGCAAGAAACATGTCCTGCAAGCCGCCGAGTCGCAGGCCATCGAAACGCTGCTCATCTCGGACAACCTCTTCAGGTGAGTTCCCCTTGGTTGAGCCCAGATATACATATGCATGTATATTTATGTATATTGAAGCAACTCCCAGCTGGGCACACATTAAGCCCAATCAAGCGGAGAGATCAAGAGCACGATCGCGAGTATAAGTAGAAACCTTCAACTTGGCAATTGCGATGGCAATTGGTGTGCTTATGTCGCCATATAGAACGTATGTGTCACCAGACCGCTTTGGGTGCCGGAAAGAATACAAATATTGGGGCAATTCAGAAAATCTGAAGAAGAGCAATCAATTTCATTACTGTATCGATTGTGCTTTAATTAGTTTGCTATGCTGGCGACTGTGGTTTTCAATTTATTTCTGTTTGGATGTGTAGAATTCAGCTGAGAACGTACTATTTGTACATTCAGTGTATACTATTTAAGATATTTGAAGAAGATACTGGTGAGCATTATTTTAACATCCTATCTTGTGTTAATATTCTAGCCTCGCAGTTTTTTATATAAATTCTTATCTAGTCCATTAGAATCTCCACGAGAAATAAGGACTAGACTTGCTAGAACTGCCTCCATTCCGCGTTCCACTTTGGGTTTCCATTACCATTAGAAGATCGCTGGTTCTTCCGCTGCGAATACAGATCTGCTCCGATCGCACGCGTTTAGCCATTTAAAGAAAGCACGTTCGAGCATTAATTTGTTGGCCCCATGGCGACGTGCTCATGATCAAGGTTGCCCCAATGTCTCCTCACCTTTTTTGGCTGCCAGCCTGTTTGGTTCTGTTCTGTTCTATTCACTACTCTTCTCCGCGATTTGCTTACACTTTGATGGGCCGATGAAATTCCATTTGAATGTGTTTTGTTTTTGTATGCTAACTGCGTGGCTGGCAATTAAATGAAAATTAAGTGTTATAGCTTTTTCTTTACTTAACATTTAATGTACTTAATGATCTAGGCAAAAGGTGTTTTATTCTAGCACTTTTAGTCAGTCCGCTTAGGTTGCTTCCCCATAGATATTCTTCCTGCTTCTTCTAATCTCAGAAATTGTTTAAATCGCAGGTCGCCGCTATCGTGGTCGTCGTCATTGTTGCTCCGGACTCGGCTCTATCTCGACATTTTTGATTGCTGCTGATAGTTTTGCCGTTGTGCAAATAGAAACAAGATGGGGAAATGTTATGAAATGCTTCGCTTAAGTTTTCCATTTGCCTTACCGCTTTCGCTGCTGCTCATTCCACTGATTCTTCCTCAGCTTCTGCTGGTATACGGGATCCTCATCGAAATCTCTGCTCCGCATCGCCAGCCGCTTGAAACAATCGTCCAGGGTTTCCCTCAGTGGCAGCAGGCGATGTGGTGAAGGCGGGGAACTGGGCATCTTTCTGTAGTCCAGCTTCTTGAGGGACTCGCACGTGGTCGAATCCGACCACTGGTGGATGGGATGGCCCAGTTCGGAGATGGTGTAGTCGGGCTGTCTGGTGAGCATCTTGGATCCGCTTGATTTGACTCGATTTAATTCGACGGTGTTAAGTGGCCGGCACTTAATTAGGAACTGGAGTGGAAAGATATGTGCGTTAAGTACAGTCAAGTGGAGTTGAGGCTTGGACAGATTATCCCACGAATAGAATTTCTTAAGTTCTGTTTTATGATATTTATCTGATCTATATACATTGTCTTATACATTGTTAGTATAAACCAATCAATACACATATATTTAAAAAAAAACTCAGCAATGTGATCAAATTCCTCAAAATAAACCACATCACTTATAAATATTTCAAATTAAAGTCACGTAAATGTATTTGTTCTGAAGTCATATTATCAAAATATGTGACTATTTATTTAAGTCACATACAATGAAATCATGCAGTTAAAATTTTGTGAGCTGGATATTTGCTCGGTACAACAAAGGTATTATCTGTAAATGATTGTGGAAAATATGTAGAGCATTTTTTTGATAAGCCGTGATAACAATATGGTTAAAAAGCTTCTCTAAACAATGTTTAGCTCTCCCCGTGTATTTCTTGCTCAGCTCCGCAAACTGAGACTTTGATTCGTCCCTCACCCATTTAATCCGTATCCGTAAATACATTTGAAATTCGTATCTGCTCATGTAGGAATTCCAAGCTGAATTTGCGTGCTCTGTTTGAGGTCTCTTTTTATAGAGCTGTTTTCGCCAGACGAGTTTCGATTAGCAAATGACGAGGACCGAACTAAACTCTGATGTAAATAAGCTGGGCACCATATAAGCTTTATAACCATGTGGAAATGATTCCCTCAGTGAGCCAATTCTTGTGCTAATTATTAGAACTCGCTGTGGGCGAAAGATTGCGATTGAGGGAGCAGGAGAACAGCCATAAACAAGTAAATAAAGAATTTTTAATTTTTTTAATCACTCCGTTTATGGATCACTTGGCGGGCGACTTTTGAAGCGGACACTCTCGCTTCCACACAGCTCCCGCTTTGGATTTTCTGGGACTCCCCCTCAATTCTCGATTCTCAATTCCACATGCATGGCATGCAACATGATCCACTTCTAGCCAACTTATCAAGTTCTTTTGCTGCTCGAGTGCACTCAGCATTTGCTTGCCCCCAACCGATTTCGCTGCCATCCAGCAGATTTTATTTTTTCCATACTTATAGTATGTATATTATTCGTGTGGCCAACCAGTTTTTCTAGTCCCTCTTTGTTTTGCTATGCAACATGTCTTGTGCGTCAAAAACGTGCCCCATTTAAGCGATTATTGTTTGAGTTTTGTCGCAGCTGGCCACGCTTGTAAATATTGTCTCGAAAGACAATTGTTTATATATTTTGTACATATATTTGCATTGTGAAATATCGTAAAAGCCAATGAAAGGGATAGGAGAGAGGGCGGAAAGCTTAAGGCTGTTTCCATTAAGACTGAAGTGAAAGGGCTTGTCTGAATGAGCGATATTGATACCCTAAATGGGTATAAAATCACTTTTATTGGATCTTTGCTGTAAGGGTGCTCGGGTTGGGTTTTTTTTGGTCAACCGATGGGGTAAGCAATGAATTGGCTGTTTTTGAAAAGATCAAACCCAGCCAATGAAATGAAATCAAGGCGTTGCCTTAAAGGTTGGTCTTAAATGATCTCAGAAAATGTGCTGAGTGAGAGCTAACCTTCCACGTTTTAATTAAGTCTTGAAACTAAATGGATATTTGACTTCTCAATATACAAGGTTTGTAGATTGTCAAGTTCGGATAGCGCCGCCTTTGCTCGCGCATTTAAGTGCACACTTTTGCTGATATCTGCGGGCTGCCCATGGCCCCACTTTCCCCACCACCATCTTTCTTCCCATTTCCCATTTTTCTTCAAACGCTCTCTCTTTCTGGCTGACAATTCACGGCTGTGCCCAACCTCGTGCACGCTAATTCCATTATAACAATTGATTCCATTGTGCAATCGTTGTCACGCAGCAGCAGCAATTGCAGCTACATCAGCAACATGAGTAGCGGCTAAAATTGCAGGTACATCACAGCAGAAAGCCGCAGGCAGCAGCATCTACACAATGGCTCGCAGTTCATCGCAGATTGCGGTTAACGGATGAGCGAAAAAGTATCTGAACACAGGTAGCAGATACGTTTGTATCTGCATTGCCTTCAGCTGAGTCAGCGGTGATAAAACGTTGAACTAAACTGAGCGGGACTTTAAGTGATTGGGGCCTATTTGAGATTTCATCTGCAATGGGCTGTATGTTTGTTATATGTCGATGGAAACCACTTTGCAACTTTCACTCTGCGAGGGGCAAACACACCTTTGTATCTTTTTATGCGTCGTATTTTGTGCACTTTTCTTTTGCGGTTTTAATGGCGCTGTTGTTTTTTTTTTCTTTGTATTTTTTAGCGGGGGACTTAGCACCAATTTTTCCTTTCGCGTGGCAATCTTCTCCGGTTCGTTTCGGTGTTCCGTGCCTCGAATCGCGCGATGTTCCCCGCAAGAAAGCCGCTTTGCAACTAATTCTTCGCTGCGAAGACAGCCGCTCTCTTCGCAGCCACACGTGCTGTGGATCGCATTCGGAATACCCTCCACACTCCACACGGGCCGATCCGTTCGCTCTTTAGGATCGCACTCTCTCTCGCTCTCTCTCTCTCGTGGCAAACTGAAAGCAGTTTGTTGTCGTCAATAAAAATGATAATTGAAATTTCATTTTTTTGTCTGGTTTTCATTCGAATTTCTGCGGCTTCTTAGTCTTACTTCGTTACCTGCAAAAATCTTGATTCCGATGGGGTTTTTGAACCGCACTTACCTTTTATGGCAGTAGCACTTTCGTTGCTCGTCTAGTGACTTCATGCGCCCTGGGAATCTGCAATGCAATTTGTGGGGTTCCAGTATAATGTGTGTGATGACCCCCTTTGGTGGGCCGAGCGACGAGGTGAACCCACTATTTCCAGTTAAACTTGACACCTTATTCACTGCGGCTTATGCCCATCACGTGCCACGATCCAGCAGTTTGCTGTGCGCCATTTAAACGGGTTGTGGAATGCGAAAGTGCAGTAGATACGAAAGATAGATAGCACCCATATCCGTAAATGTGTGAATTAATGAATACAATCGATTGTTTCTGTTCTATGAGTCGTATTGCCAGGGCTTCAATAACATTTGCTCTTTCTACAGATGCCAAGACGTCGGTCTAAGGAAGGAATATGTTAACCTGGTTGAATCCGTTCGTGATGCTGGGGGAGAAGTCAAAATCTTTTCGAGCATGCACATCTCAGGAGAACGTAAGTATCAAACGAACTCAATAACATTCCATTCCAAGGGGGAAACTAGTGGTTGGAGTACATATGGCACTTTTAATAGTACAATTCAGCTTTCTAGCATCGCGTGTTATCTTAAATAGCACAAATTTGGAAGCCATCTAAGCAGATTTAACCTTGTGTCTATTTGAAGCAACTCGAGAAGTTCTTTATCTGGTACATTGAAAAGCAACTCACAATGACTCATGGGGCGCGAAGGAACTGCCCTTTCAGCCCAAGAATAGATCATCTCCAGTAGAAAGATCTTTGCATCACACTTGTTCCACCTTCGGCCATTTCTATGCTCGATTTGGATGGAATATTTATGCGCAGCCTGCCTTCCCCCGTCTAATGACCTCGTTACAAATGCTATTTTTAAGTTCCCCGATGCAATATTGAATACATGCGCATATACATGTGCATATGTGAATTTCTTGGAGGGGTCTCCCACATTACAAAGTCCACGGCGAGATGAGCAAAAAACAGCACTATTGAATAGCTGCCAAGTAGTTTTCGCTAGCTCATTCGGAAGGGACTTTCGCTTTCATTTTCGTATGCAATTAAGTATTAATTAAAATTGCACCTCACATATTGGCCATATTTGCGGGGTGTGAAGTGCTTAAGTGCTTGAAATAGCCATTGGCAGGTGACTCACGAGATGAGATTCCTTCCACGAGTTTCTTTTTTCAGTTGTCTGAGGCCTGCCACTTGGCAAGAGTTTCGTTTTCGACTCGAAAATGGGTCGTTGGGGTTCCGAAATAGAACCCCCATGTCTTGTGGATTTTGCAACAATGAGTTGTAACGATCCCTATCGAATTTGGTGCGCCCCTCTTTGTTGAGACTGCCCATTCTTATCTCCCCGCAAGTATTTACTCAGCTGAGCAGTTTAATCTGCTTTAAACTTTATAAGTATATAAGCATGGAAGCCACTGGTGTAAACACAGCCAAATTTAACAGATAAACGGGCCTGGTGCTTGAGAAAACGGATTATACACACCCTGCATTAATCCCGCACTAATTGGACAAATCCATGAATATGTAATGCTCACGCTGGCCGTGTTGAATGTGAAGTTCGCCGGGTGAGTCATGGCCTAGAACAACCGGTGGGCCTTGAAATCGGACAGTAGGAACGCCCACAACCTGGGGAAAGAAGTGAAAAACCTGCATTGGCTGCTGCAGTTCTGAGGCTCAGAGATTTCTTGCATAGAGTATTGATGGTTTTGGCATTCGTAGTTTACTTGATATTCAGGTTTTCAGTGTGCAGATAGCAGAAATTAGCTGCAATAACCATCTTAGCTACGTCCATTTATTAACCCCAGTCCACAATGGTTTTGTCCACAGAACTTGCCCAACTAACTGGAATTGCCGCTCTCCTGCGCTTCCCGATGCCCGAACTGGAGGACAGCGATGATGATGACGACGAGGATGGAGCGGCGGGCGGAGCGGATAGCGATTAGGATCACAAATAGGATACAATCTTGATGGAATCTTGGCATTTGATAATGGAAATATTTGACTTAGTAGACTAATAGGAACCACGACAGACTTGGACGTCAGGGCATATACAATATACATAGTGCTAATTCAATACGATGTACACACAAATATCTGCTTAAGTTCATCCGTGGCTGGGCCTAGAAATTCTTAGTCAGAGTCCCAACGTTTTCGGGACTGAAAAAAGCCACTTAAAAATGTTCTATTCTTTGCGCTCAATGGAATGGCCACCATATTGATAGCCTTCATTTATTGCTCCATTCATTTAACCCCCAAACAAAATTGAGTTGCTGTCGACAGCCGCGTTAATGGTTATTGTCAACTATTTTGTGCAAACTAAAGGCCTTTTCTGAGCACTTAAATTCATTGCTCATTAATTTGTAAAATGCAAAACGGAGTTTTCAAAATTATTACAATCGGAATATATTTTATAGTAATTTATCCAGCTTCGTTGTTTGAAAAGGGACTTTATGCATCTTCAGAACGCTCTCAATGTTGCTTAACTTTATAAGATTTGTAATTATCATTTTATGCTGTAGACATAACCTTTTGTTAAACCCCACTAGCTGATACAAGATGTAATTAATTACCCATGCTGTAAAATATATAATCCTATGAACAAGTTGTACAATAAATCATTTTCAAGAATTCACCCATCTGAACATACCACTTTCATTGATTTTTTCTGTCCATACAATTTGTTCCATTTCTCGAATACAAAATAAAGTGTATGCTACATTTAGTTTCATTTACATTTTCATTGTTTATTGTTTTAACCTAAATCAAGACACAGATCCCCCCGAGCAGACTGTTCGCTCACTTGCCCAGCTTGGAGGCCTTGGCAGCCGCGGCCGCCGCTTCCTTGCGTGCCTCCCGCTTAGCCGTCTTCCGGGCCTCCTTCTCGCTGGCCTCGATGGTTCGTCGCTTCTTGCGCAGCAGCCACTCCTCCTTTTCCTTGGTCTGCTTCTCGCGGATGAGTTTCCGGAAGAGATTGCGGTGGCGGGGCTTCACCATGCGCGCTTGCAGGCGGTGCTCATCGACCTCGGCCTTGTGCACCTGCCGCTTGTTGACCTTGTGCACCTTGCCCGACTGCACGGACATCTTTTGCTTCTCCTCCTGCAGGCGCTTGCTCTTCTCGTCGAGCTCTTCCTCCTCCGCCTCCTCTTCATCGTCGTCTTCATCATCATCCTCTGGATCTTCCTCGTCTTCGTTGACACCGTCGGGTCCGCCGTACTTCTTGTACTCGGCCGTTTCCTGTTGGTAGGCAAGCTGCAGTTGCGCATCGAGCAGCTCCTGGTCCACAGTCTCCTCCTCCTCTTTCTCAGCTTCATCTTCTGAGTCCTCATCGCTTTGGGCTGCAGACAGAAGTAGTGTAAATGGCTGTTCTACATTATAAGCAAAGATCCCTTAACACTTACCATGTGTTTCGATCAGGGAGGGATCCAGCAGGGCCTTCTCTTCGGGCGGTATGTACGAGTCCCTCTTGGAGTCCACGAATGGCGACAGGTGTGGTGGCAGTGTCTCGCCAATGAAGTACTTGTTGGTGGGCAGTAGCTGGCGCTGATTGACGCAGTCGAAGACCCACTGCGGCTGGATATAGTCCCGCGAGATGTATTGCGTGGTAATGCTGGGCCTGTCCACGATCTGGTGGGTGATGGTCTCATCACCTTCGTCGTACGTTGAGCCAGCGAAGATAGACGAGTCCCAGGACACCTTGCCGCCAAAGGAGCGGATGAGAATGACCAAGGGCTCGCGCGGAACTTCGCGGTTGATGAAGAACTTCAAGCCCTTGAACAGGGTGCGTAGACGGCTCACTTCCTGGGCCTCCTGCTTCATCTTGATGATGCGCTTCGAGTCGCCGTCCTGCTCCAAGAGCTCCATGTCGATGTCCAGCTCCTCCTCGTCCTCCTGCACCTTGTCAGTGCGCAGCAGCTCAAAGTTCAACGCTGCAATGCGGTCAGAAACGAAGCTGGCCTCGTCCTTCAGGGACTCTTCGCTGTCCTGAAGCACGCTGCTCGGGAATTGTGGTGGATAGGCCAGATTCAGGCCATGGAATAGCCGGAAGTTGGTGAAGCCCAGCATAATCGTGTAGAACTCCACAAAGATGGACATCACCTTGAAGTCCACCTCCTGGCGGGACTGTGGCTTGAACGGATAGTAGTGCGGCACAATCCAAGTGACCTTCTGGCCCTTGATCTCCGCCTGGAAGTAGTAGCCCTTGATGGAGATGAACACTTTGCGCAGCGACTTGGACGCGATCACGTAGTGCAGGAACTCGATAGTCAGCCGGCGGCACAGGTTCGACTGCTCCCTGGGAATCAAGTGCAGCGAGGGAAAGGTGCTGAACAGAAAGAGCAGAGTCAGACAATCATCCAAATCCTTTAGTGCATCGATGAAGGTGGGATAGCGCTCCTTGACAATGTGATCGAGTTTGATTTCGGGGAACAGGGCCAATCGACGCTTCAGGTTGCGGAAATCCTTGATGGCGCGATCGCGATTGCTCTTCTTGGCAAAGATCTGCGGAACATTTGGGATGGTCAACGATTCTGTGAACTATATCTGCATCCAACATACCTTGTAGTCACGCAGCGTCCACACAATCGACTCATGCAGCAGGAAACGAATGTCCTTGGTGTGATAAAGGACCTTGATCTCCGAAGATCCCTTCTGCGCTCTACGCCTGTGTTTCGGCTCCCGGGGATAGACGCCCTTCAGGATGCACAGCCTCCGGAAATCGTTCAGAGAGAGCTGTAGTTTCCTGAGCGCAGCCCGGCGGCTAATGTACTGCGTAGCCTCGCCGGATTCGTACTAATAAATGATAAAAACATTAATTTCCATATGCATTCGTGGGAGTCTCAAAACACATAACCTTAAAGCAGCATAAAGTACGCCGAAAGCAATGCACACCTACCTTCTTGGGTCGTCTCATTCTGCCGCTGTATGAAAATGCACTTTTTGTCAAGTTAAATCTGCTCTAAACAGATTTATTTAAAGGAAAACACGCTGTTCACCAAAACACACGTTTTTTGTGTTGTTGGTTTCGCGTGGAAAGGAAGTGTGACCGGCTTGAATTCAAAACACCAGGTGGTATTGAAAATAGTCCTAAATTTGACTGGAGGTGCAAAACTTGGCTGAAAATGGTGGGGAGCTCTGCTGGGAAATCGATACATTAAACGCCGAAGTGAGCAATTTTAACTTTGGTATATATCGATAGGTAACAGCTAGTTTGATTTAAATTGAAATTCAAACATTCCAGCGAAACTTTAAATTATAACATGGAATTTTATATATAAATGCAGTAAATGCACTTGATGGGCGTCCAAGAAAATCACGCACATGCTGCCATTGGATAACTCGTTTTATTGAATCTGTTTTTATTGTTTTTTTATAGGTATTGTATTGAGAAAATAACATACAGTCTAAGTTTGTTGTATTATATAATATTCGTTATATATTAGTTAGTTTGAACATTAACTTCGTTTTTGTTTTCGCCACGTGCTTACTGCAGTCGCATTTCGTTTCGATTTGCTGTCTTGCTTGATAACAAAAGTTTATTAAACGGCCCTTTCTCATTTGCTGCGGCTCTTCTAAAACTCTGCGTTTTTGAACATTCGTGTCTTCGTGTCGTGTTCTTGAGTGTCTGCTTGAGTAATTCTTCTGAGCTTTCAAAGCCTTGTTAACGGTTCGATGTAAATGTATCTGCATCTGCATTTGCATCTGCATCTGCATCTAGCATCCTGCATCTGAGTGTGGTTTGTTGTATATTTCACCTAAATAACTAGTTAACATTTCGGTTTATTCGCTATAGCTTCGTTTTGATTTACATAAGGTTTTGGGGCTCGCACCCCGTTCTACTCTGCGCCGTTCTCCAGCTTACGATCCTTAAAATGCTTTATATAACTTCATATACGTTTGGTTTATATATAACATATCTTGAGTGCCAGCCATATATGTTTGCATGTATCGTTAGAAATTGACTATATATTTGATTTGCCTTCACTCCATGCTCGGTTTTAATGATCTCCATTAACTGATGGGTATACGGTATACTGGTGAATTTGGTTCGGTTGCTGGAGTCGGTAATCGAATGACTGCGTGTTTCTGGGTGTGTTTTGTATAAAATCTAAATGTCGTTAACTAGACGTACTTGTATAAAGTAAATAACTCGATGTATTGCACCATGCATACATACATACATAAGTATTTATAGTTCGAGCTCTCTGGTTCGTCACAGAGATAAAGTGAGTTCAGCATGGTATTGGAATCTTTGGGAGTGGGGGGTATCTACTCCTTTGATGAGTAAGAAGTGGGTTCCATTATATTCTTAGACTGGATCAACTGAATATCTGAACTGACCCTAGCTCTCTCATTTTCTGTTTTCTGTTTTCCTTTCATGGTTTATTGTATTATTCATATAAATCATTTGTACAATCTTATGTGCTAGAAGCGTATCAGTTGTTAAAATTAATGTCTGTTATTATAATACTCTCATTGTTCGCTATTAAAATTACACACCCGTCTGCACTAATTACATGCCAGTATCGATCGGTCCGCTTGTTTTTTGTCCCGAAAAAATACACATTTGTAAGGTAAAATTCAAAATTACAACGATCGAAACTCAACAACGGAAAATATACATACATACGTATTTGGTGGGTAATGATAATTGTATTACACACGACGGCTATATGTTCACGCACTATATCTGGTGACATCCGATGTCGGTCGGCTGATCGCTGGCATTACAAATAATAAACGCATCCGGCTTATACACTTATAAATTTGAAAACGCTATAAAATCGTTAAATTAGTCTACCAATATGTTAACTATTACTTTTTACTGGATTCATATTTACTCATTCATATTTGCTTCATGCTTGCTTTTTCGATTAATCATTTATTGGTAATCGTTTGGTTTCCGCATATCGAACGAAATATCAAATCGAAATCAAATCGAAGCCGCTGAAAAGTTATTGTTTTCTGTGATTCTCTGCCTAAACAACGGACGCAACTTGAAACGGTCTCTAAATATTGTATAATTGAATATAAGTATTGCATACATTGCACTTCACGTGTTCTATTTGTATTCGTAATCGTATTAAGTATTAAAAAATTAATCCACTTGGGCGTGTGATCGCACAAACACGCTATATTCTATTTGCTATATGGTATATGGTATATGGTGTAAGGTATATGGTATATGGTATATGGTACATATACTGGCTTATAAAAGTTATTAAATATCCGAGTGTCCCATATACGGTTTAGGTCTAGTTCGTAGATTATTTAAAGCTGAAATCATGATTATGTGCTCGTTTACGTTCGTTTATTCTCGTAGACATTATGTGGTATATCGGTATTTCTGATCAAGACGATTGTATTTGGTGATTGACTCGAGGGCGTGATTATAGTAGTATTGGGCCAGATCAGATCTCTAGAAATGCATCCGAATGGTCTGTGCTTGTGTTTGCTAATTTTATTTGAAAACATCGAACATTGAATAGCTAATCATGCCAATTACGTTTAAAACATAACAATCAATTGGGTATACTTACGGTTGATTTTTCTGCAAACTCAAAATTTGTTTGTGGACACAAAATTAGCAAACACAAAATTCGTTTTTTTTGTTGTTTTTTTTTTTTAAGTTTACTTTTTTCACTTTAATTTCAAACAATGATTTTTATTTTCATAGTTAAATATTTCATAAAGTATATATAGCATTACTATATCTTTCGATTCGATTTGGTTTGTTCTGTTTCGTTTTATCGTTATTATTATTACCTTCCTTACGCTTCGTTTATGTTTTATGAACGCTTTTGCTAATGTTTCAACAATTTTTTTGTGTTTTTGTTTCACTTTTACTTTTACTTTTACGCAATTATTCAACTTGTTAAAAATCTATAACCATAACAATTTCATATATATATCTTTATATATATATGTTTCTTGTATATATTTCCTCTTATTTACGTTGCTTTAAAGCGAGACTTCAACGCCATTCGACAATTTGGTGTGGTGTGTGCGCTTTTGGATGATGATTTGGATTTGGGATGAATCGTGGACTATGTGGTTTATTGGGTGTTATAATTCCATATGGAAGTGGGAGAAGTTTCTGGAAATAAACGTGTTCCTTAACAAATTTCTCAATTCTTCGGTTCGGTTTTCCTCTCGGAATATTGGCTTTCGTATATAGAAAATAGGCGCGATATGTTTAAATGCATGTGTGTTAGCTCAGATGTGAGTGGGTGTGTGTGTGTGTGAGGGAAATTTTCAGTACAAGTAATTGCTGGGTGTGCTTTTCCATTTTCTCGTTAGGTTCTAATAAGATGTAGTTAAGTGTGAGAGTTTCGTGTTTCGATCTCAAGTATTTTAGTTTTATATAATAAATATGACTTGGTTTTAAAGTTAATTTGGAAGATATTTTTTAAAGGTTTTCTATTCGATTTAGTTGCTGCTATCCTTTGTTGTCTTTAGTTTAACATACAGCATGTATAAAAGTTTAAGTTAATTTGTTGTTTGTTCTTGGAAGTTGTCTCTGTTAAAGCCTGGCGACCAAGGCAATCTTCTCGTGAGAAGTGAGCTTGCTAGTTGGGATATACGAGTATATATCCAATATAGAAGGACTAAAGTCGACACTTTTGGAATTAAGAGCTACAGTGAGAAATGCTTGGAGTGGCTGAGTTAAATGGGCGGGAGAAGTAGGAGGCTTACGAAGTGGTTAGGACTGAAGAGGGCATTTCAATATATAGTTTCTAAATCATATGTGGTCAACGCAACTTAGGCACCCAAGGTAACACTGCCTTAGAAAGTAGTAAAGTAGTTTTACGAAAGATTGAGAGTCAAAGTACGGTAGTAGGTATAAATACATTTTCAAAATGATCCGATATAGTGTACATAAAATATTCATGGTCCTAGATGACCCTTAGGAAGTTCTCAGCCAACTTTCCGCTGGATTGGTACTCTTTCGCAGATGAGGGATGTGGTGTCTTCTGTGTGGAGAAGGGTGTGATGTAAGTCTCGTTCGAGTTTTATACAATATCTCCACCTCGTTCCCTGACCATCTTGTCGCTCCTGCGCTCTTCCGGTCCTGCTGTTCTGCTGTTCTGCTGTTCGCTGTGACCTTCGACCTTCGACCTGTCCATATCCTACATGCATGTTTCATATTATCATTTATTTATATTTATATCTGTGTGCAATCGAATGCACTGCACCCATGGGGTGTAAGAGCAGCCACTTAGTTACGTTAATTCTGCATTTGCATCTGCACATCGCATTGTTCAGTAGATACAGCATATAATCCAGCGAATGTGAATGCATATATAATTATTTCCGATGCGTTACAACTGCTTGTGGGTCTTGATGTTCGCAATTTCGCAGTGAGATTCGCATGTCGTACATATAGGAGTATGCATATAGTGCCATTCCACTGCGGAATCCTCTAAGTTCACTGGTAATAAAAATTATTGCTTTCTGTTCTGAGTGTATGTGTGTGTGTTTGTATCTGTGTCTGCGTCTGTATCTTGTATTCGTATCTGTATCTTGTCTTGTCGCTTCCTTAACTTGACTGCGAGCCATATGCAAACGTCTGGATATCCGTTAGATACATTGCCTACTTAAGTATAGTTGCATATATATATAGTAAGTTATCTTCTGGTATATATAAAATATATATATTTATATATAAGTATGTTTATATTAAGGTGTATATATGTATGCGTTTTATGTTAAATTATTTGGGTTTCTTTTCCATTTGCAATTCAACGGTTTTGCGGCCACTTGGTTTTACGAGTTTAGGGTTTTAGTTTTAGTTTTAGTTTAGAAAAATGTTACGTACCTTCTAAATAAGGAGAGCAAGTTGATTTTGTTTTGTTTCGTTAAATATCGTCTTATATGTCGTTTATATATAAATACGTTAATATGCTCATATATATGTACTTGGGGGACTTCATTAAGCAAAAAGTATATGAAATTAGTTTGTTTTTTTTTTGTTTGTTTTTTTTCTTTTATCTTAGGCTTTTGGTTTTGGATTCGAAGTAGTCTATAATAAATATGGCTTCAATTTAAAGTTAAATTTAAACTCTGCTCTTCCTACACGCCAACATGAATCAGAATTAGAATTAGGACTAGAAACGGGATCAGAACTAGAATCATAATCATAACTAGAATAAGAATACTTATTAGAATTAGAATTAGAATTAGCATCGGACTGGAATCAGTGTAATCGATCATAATGTTCTGGTCTGGATGTATGACAAATGCACTAAGCAAATTGTTCAAAGCCCTACACATTCGCTTCGATTTCGATTTAGCGTTGAATTCGAGTACAACTGTAGCTTACTTTGAGAGTTTTCGATTTGTTCGCTTGCTTGTTCAATAAGTACGCAAATTATCACTTAATCAATACAGGTCAATATATAGTATGCCATGTAGTGTGCGTGTGAGTGGATATATAAGTATTATGTATAAGTCGTAAACTAGATAGAGTTTAGATAGGCTCTGGATAAAGCTTTTAGGAGAAATCTTAGTAGAGCACGCAAATGAAAGGCTTCCGCTCGATCGATCGAACCGAAAGAGCTCAACACAAATTTTGGAGGCTGCTTTCCTTCGTCGTATCGTATCGTATCGTTTCGTATCATATCATACCGAATATGAATAGAGGATATAGGTGCCTTGTGCCGAGATATTCATATATATTTGTTGGTACATACATCTGGTATGCTGGTTTCTTATGCTTGTAGTTAAAACCCAAACGTTAGGTAGATAGTTAGTAAGTGGTTGGGAAGCCTTTGTCGTGTTTCCTTCTCGCTAGTTTTGGTTTTGGTATTAGGTCGCAGATAGATACGATAGTTGGGAGCAAAGATTCATAGAGTTTAGGATAGGATAGGGGGCTGCTTGCGTTAAAAAGCTGCGCTAAACACTTTAAAGTAAATGTCTTTCGAAAAAGAAACGCTGGCACTAACTAACTCGCATTTTGTTAACGTTAAGTTTTCGATTTCGTTAATTCAGTATCGCTTTTACATGCGTGTTCTGGTGTATCTGTGTGTCTGTGTATCTGTGTATCTGTGAGTGAGTGTGTCTGTTTGTCTGTCTGTTTGTCTGTCTGTCTGTTTAACAATTCGATTATTTAGCTTTAGTCCACTGTTAATATATTTGCTTATCATCCATTAATTTGCTTGTATATAATTTAGCTAATTGGGTGTGAGGCTGACGGGGTCCTCGTTTCGTCCTCGGCGGCATCCAGATATCCTTGGCTTGGCAGGTATCCTTGCTGGCTCGGTAGCTCGATGGCGCGACAGCCGGGTAACTCGGTAACTATTGCCCGCTTTTGTCTTTGCCCCTGCCCCATTTAAAAGGGGCACGTGATCACGTCGTACTCGAACATCAGCGACACGGCGACAAAGGCAAAATACAACAGAAACATGGTGAAGCCCAACCCCTTGTTCATGCGCCAGCGGAAGCAGGCGATCGACATCACCACGAACACCAGCATCATAAACAGGATGGTTATGGAGCAGACCATGCCCACCGAGTTCACCTCGACGGGCGCCCCATAGATGATGCCGTACAGCAGCCACGGTATCGGCAGGCTGGCGAGGAATGGGGAATGGCAATGTGGTATTCAACATATCCGGTTAGTTTCGGTTCTAGTTCTCATACTGGACGGATGCCCCATACTCACCCCACGGTCACGTCGAATATGTTGCTGCCCACCGAACTGGACACGGCCATGTCGCCGAATCCCTTGCGTGCCACAATCACCGAGGTAATCAAGTCCGGAATGGAGGTGCCCGCCGCCAGGAAGGTCAGACCCATGACCTATCGGGGAGGCAAGAACAGGTAGTGGGTTAATCAGCAGCAGGCACACAACTCATACGCATTAGGCTCTTTGTACACTGGAATGAATCGCACGACTCATTGCTATTGTTCTGCTAGTTATGTTTCTAAAAATAAATTCGGGGTAAATATTTTCATATTTTTCTGGGCATATAATTGGTCTGCACATTGCCTAAAACTGAAAAACGCCGACGAGTGGCTTTTAGAAAAATAACTAAATAGTTTTCCCCTGCCGAAATTCTATCTTATAGCTTAAAGTGTGCAGTGTGTGAACTTTAGCAAGGGCACCGGGTGAAATGTGTTACATGATGATCAGCTTCTTTGGTGATTGTACCTCGGGCGGAATGCGCGCCGTGTCGCCGGCCACGTTGGCCCACCAGACCATCAGGTAGGAGAAGGCCGCTATCCACACGATGGAGCCAATGAAGGTGACCGGAAAGAAGCGCTTGCCGCGCGGCGTCCGCGTGTCGGGCAGTGTGAGCCACATGGGCACCAGGAGCGGGGCCACCAGGACGTAGGTGAGCCGCTTCCGCGCCGTGTCCGGCCAGGCCATGCTCAGTGGTTCCGGCTCATCCTCGATTTCGGGCGCCTTTGGTCAAAGGCAAAGGGAGAGATTGGCGATTAGCGACTGGGACCGAACTCGACTGAAGTCTGTTAGTATTAGCCGTAGTATATGGGTATATATATTGATATATTTATAATACTGAATATGTACGAGTAATACGGAATTTGTTGTATAAAATATATAGTAAAAATGTGGGTGGCAGTGTAATTGCAGTGGTGAGTGATTCGAGTGAAACTCGGTGGTGTTTGATTGGTTTCGGCGTCGGGTTCTGAGGCGAAATGCGTTCTGAGCTATGTTTACAGATGATCATGAGTCGGTTACGGGTAACAGCTTTTGTCATAGTACAAATTTTGCTTAGCTTTCGGGCTGGCTTGCAATTAGATACGATGTGGTTTGACTTAGTTTGATTAAGTTTGGTTGTCTGGGTTCTCATTGCTCTGGGTGAGGCTCGCAGACAGGCGGTATCTAGTGGGTTCGGTGTCGCCTTGGTCAGGACACTTGGTGTGGTTGTACGAGTGTGGTAGTTCAAGGGTGCACTTACTTTCTACTGCTAGCAGGTCTACAATTACGATACGATACGATACGATACGATACTGATACTGATACTGATACTTGTGCTCAGAGAGATGGTTAGACTTAAAACGTGCAGAGTTCTACCAGCATCGCATGTGCAGTGGTACTACAGTGGTGCATTGGTACAGTGGACATGCTCAAGTTAGACTTGCAAGTGCAACAACACACAGGCACGGTCTACAAGGTCGATCAATCGTGAACAAAAGTAGAAAGTAAAACTGGTTAAAAGAAGTGTCTAGAGGTCTAGTTTTCATATCACTAAGGTAATGCTACTCGAAATACTTGTGTCTTTTTCACTGAAGCAGTGTGAGTGTTTTTGTTTTTTTTTGGGTTAGTGGTTTTGGGTGACGATTTTCAGAAGCTTTGCAAATGCAACTACTAAGTGGGAATTTAAGTGCGGTCTACACCTCACGCTCCTGGCCAGTAACTCAAGTTTCCCAGCTTTTCCCAAATAATCCCAGATTATTTTATTCCATTTTATGAATGGCTTAATATGGGTGAGTCATTGACAACGCTGCGGTTTTGGAACCTGGACTTCTCGGCATTTATAATTAATCATCACTCAACAAGAGGTGATTTCATTTGCGATTTCTATACATAGAATGGACGGACTTATCGGTGAAACGATATAAATAAAAATATTTTACATGTACAAAGAATGAATCTCTGCAAGTCAGAATAATCTTTACATTGTTTCCTAAATACCTAAAAATCTCTAACAAATTCTGAACATGACTGTATTAATCCCCGATGTTTCTTAAGAGGCCACTGCCAAGGAGCTTTTGTGTTAGACTCGCGTGCAATTGTCAGATATTTTCTTTGTTATTCAATAAAAAAAACAGTTTCGTTTACTATAAATTTGTTGCAAAAAATAAAAGTAAAGATTGTATGCAATATATAGAGAGCGAAGTTAGATAGATATAGAGAGAAAGATAGATAAGAGAGATCAATAAAAATTGTTTATGAAACTAACTTTGATGCTAAATTTGCGTGTCTGAATTTTGACCCTCTGCTCAATCCAGCTAGGACGTCGACCACTCAACGATGGCTTTAGTTGATTGTTCAAGATATTTTATAAATTTATATGACAAGTTTTTGGGAGAAGAGTACACATTTATAAGTATATATAGCGATTTTCAAACATAAGGTTTTTGATCTCAGGGCCAAGTCCTTAGAATCAGATCAGTTATGGAAATAAAACGTTGATTAAAACTTAGGCAGTTAGAAAAGTAGAAGACTTTTGGGGGAGTAGATAGATAGATAGTTTGGAAAGAAGGCTGTTCACAATGTTTAGTAGAAGTGTGGGTATTCGGGGATTACGTAACAAACACATACGGATCGGGGGAGTGGAAACACAAACACAATTTGCTGGTTGTGGGTAACACTGCGTTCATTTTTTAGGGATTTTCTTTTACTTTCTTCAAGACCAGAAGCCCAACTCGGAAAATTCGGTTTAAGCGGCCTGCGAGGCCAGCCATGTTGTGTCTAATTGTGAGTCGAATTCAAATGAGGTCGCAGTAATTGAGGCGAGTCAGCACCTCAGAATTTTGCTTGTTTGCTTTGTGATCTTTGCATAAATCAAATGAAAAGAATGTAATTAATAACCGACTAGGAAGCGGGATGCTCAACGGCAAGCCGAAGTCGAAACACCCTTGCAGATGGAGTTGCATTTTCAAATTACGTGAGGCTGGCAATATTTTGGCTGTAAACGATGCAGCGGTTGGTTCTGATATCCGTAAGTCCACTGAGTCTACACGATGAATCAGCTGCATGTTAGGCATTTGCACGCCTTGCTGACTTGGCGTCCAAGCCCAGTCAGTTTTCAGACAGACCACGAAACGGATGACGGAACTTTGCAACCCTCTGCTAGAGGTAGGGCAATGAGCATCCGGAATGCAATGCTACTAAAGCTGCTGCTCTTGCTGCTTATTTTGCTGCCTATTTTGCTGATGGGGGGCCAAAGCCAAGTGCTTGCGCCTATGCATAAATATGTTCGCGTTAACAAAATGCCAGCGATTACGATTACGATACGCCAGATACGATATGCGAGCACACACGCTGTGTGGGTGGGTGTGGTGATCGGTGATCGGTGGTTTTTGGGCGCAGCTACTTTGCATTGAAATGACTGCAACGCGCATTAGTGGATTATGAATGGAAATTATAATATGCATGGCACTGTCGTTGCGACTTTGGTTATCATCGGTCATTGTTATTTGTTGGGTATTATTGTAGATGTTTTGTGGATGGTTCAACGCTAGGTACGATAAACGAAAGTAGGTAAAGACACAAAGCAAATGAGTTCCAAATGGGTCATACGGTATAAGAGTATGCAAAAATTTCACTATTCCGAATTAGCTCTTCTTAATCTGGGGCAAGACAAAACACACACAGAGATATAGATAGATCGATAGATAGATAGATAGTTCGATAGAGATGGATGGAGGGTGGTAAGATGGGGGCATGAAGATACTCCGAAAGTAAGGGAGATAAACATACACAAACAGAACGAAAGAAAGTTGAGAGGTGGACAGGAGGAAAGTTGAGGCGTGTGTGGTATTGTGTGTGGGTGTGTGCCTTAGAGAATTGTGTGTGGTGGGGATGGGTGGGTCGAACAGTTGAACAGTTTGTATGGAAAAAGAATTGAGGCACAAATCGTTGATTAGTTTAAGTAAAGGTAAGGTAGGGGACTAAATAAAAATCCATAAGAAGTCACACATAAACGTTGCATAAACACACTGACAGATCTTTTTGGTTTTGTAATTCTTTTCGCTTGTCGGGCCTACACACTTAGGAATTTCACATTTTTGAACCGGCAAAAACAGCAGGAAACGAACAAGGGAACACATAAGAAAGAACTGGGGGAGTATACATCGAAACATATATTTGGGTGGGGATTAAAGAAACACACCATGGATCAGTTTAGAATCAGTTCAAACGTTGCATCAATCAGTTAACCAATCAGTTGCTCAATCAATCAATCGATTAGCAATGCAAGGGAATCATGCCAACAGCTAGAATTGGAAAATGGTGTGTATATTTTTGTAGGTCGCTTGAACTGGTCGCTAAACTCTGTCTGGAAAAATAGGTAACGCTTCCAATTGAAAAAAATAACCGATTTAGAACATTACGATATTCGATAATATGCAATCAAAATGAGTTATCCGCTGGCGATATTCGGGTTAATGGCGATTTTAGTATTTTACCGCGATAGAGTTTTTAATATGCCGTCTACCTTCCAAATTACGATATTCAGATGTCCGATTTATAATAACTTATCCGATTTGTTGCTTGTATGAAGAATGCAGCGCATTTTGTGTGACACAATCAATCAGTTTGTAACGAAAGCACAAGGAAACCGAAAACTCAAATCAAATCAATGGTTATTCGAAACGAAACGAAACGAAAAGACATGCCTAAGAAAAATCATGAGCTTCATATCATTAGCACATCGTACGGATTACAACTGGGCCGCAAGCGGAAATGGTCATGGGGCACTTACCGAGTCGAGGGTGGTATCGATGTTCCCATTGGGACGATCGGCGAGCGTGGTCTCCTTGAGGTTGATCTTGACGTGGTTGGCCGCCGAGGTGGTGGCACCACCGCGCTGTGGCTTGGTGGCATCCAGCAAAACCTTCAGCGAGGCGATGGCGTGCAGCTGCGTCGCCTTCTCGTCCACTTTGCCTGGAACATCATCTTTGTCATTGTAATTGTGTGTGGTTTTTTTTTTGCGGGTGTTTCGATAAATAATGCAGTGTTTTTGTTTATTGTTTATTGTATATTGTTTGTTTGTTATTGTACACAAAACACGAGTGAGGTGTTGGTGGTGTTGGTGTGTGGCGAGTAGCGGTGTTGTCGTTGTAGTATTTGGTTGTTGTGTGTGCGGTTACGGTATTCGGTTTTCGGTTTTCGGTTTTCGGTATTCGGTTTTCGATATTCGGTTTTTGTTGGCACACAACGAATTGAGTTTTGAACGCAAAATCCAAGTGTTTATTTTTATTTGATATATTTTTTTTGGTTTGGTATTTTTATTTTTGCGAAAAATCAAAAGAAAAAAAGAAGAAAAAGAAAGAATAAAATTGCATCGATTAAAATCAGAAATAAACGAATTAACCCAGTTACGAGTTTCATTTTCAGATTTAATTTCTTTCTTAGATCATTTAATTTACAATCAAATTCACTCATTTAGGGGGTTGGATTGGATCGTTCATATACGCAAATATATGTCTATATGTATATTGAAAATATTTTATACAAAATGTTGATGTCAGTTGCGAGACAGCATTTGGAGGTTGCTTGAGTAAGTTATGGCTAGGGGGTATAGTCTAGTCTATAGAGTAGAGTACGGGGTATGACAGAGTAGAGCGGAAGAGAGCGGGGAGAGCAGAGAGCGGACAGCAGAGGGGAGGGGTTCGTAAGCTGACTAGGACTACGACTAGGACTATAAGTAACTAGGATCTAGTCTAGAAAACACTACTAATATTTACCGTGTCAGATTCTCATGGGTTTTTGGTCTAACTTTTGTCTCTGAATCGATCCGATTCGATCTATTGAGTGTGAACTTGTGTTTTGCACTAGGAGCTGATTAAATATTCAAGATTTTGGTCTGGTTTTCGATGATGCATGGGGATTCGGACGGGGTTTTCTGGTGGGTATCAATTCAGTTCAATTCGATTCGATTCAATTCAATTCGGTTTTTTGTTGTCAATGCGGCGTGAAGTTCTCTTTTAGCAATTTACACTTTCTCAGGGGACCATCTGACTAAATGGCTACAATTGAAAGACCCCTTTTCTAGCATTTCTCTAGGTATATACATATACATATGTGTGTATATATGTTCACGAATCCGATTGACTTACAACTAAGCTTAGCTTACTTTTCTATAGATCGTATGTGTGTATCGCGGTGGAATGCATTTTGAGGGGACTCTTACAAAGTATCGCTATGACTATCTTTGGTTTTAATACAGACCTAGAGAAGAACATGCCCATACTGATAACTGAGCAAAAGCACGTCCATCTAGTTTGCGATGGGACTTGCGATTTTGGTTGCGATTTTGGTTAACTAACTGGTAGTTAACCGGAGTGGCAGGGCCATTAGACAGATCTATCGAGATCATTGCCATCGGAGGTTGGAAAATGATGTTTTCCGCCCGTCTCTGCCGGATTTCCACTGAACGCAGGCCCAAAAACACAATTCCCATGCCGCGAACATATCGAGCCGAAAGAAACACACATGTAAACAATATATGACGAACATTCCAGTGACAAAAAGCGATCCGACCTATGCAAAAACAACCTGAAACAAGCTCGACTAGTCGCACATGCAGTCGCAGCTCGTTAATAGTTTAAATAGTTTTCTATCTACTCGGGTGTGGAGTGTGTAGTGTGGATGGGTGTATTGTATAGTGTTGAATATGTACTATGTATGAGCCCCTAAGTCTAAGGCGAAGCCGATTTTGAGCAGCGTTGCTGCGAGCCAATTGCACTAGTTGCTAACCAATTATAATTTCAATTACAATTACGATAATGATTACGTTTAACACATACAACACTAAAAACGCATAGTTAATATATGTACAGTATAAATTGTTTTGTTTTTGTCACGCGTCAAACTCAACTCAATCCAGCATTCAATGGCATAGGTACTCGAACTATGGCATATATTAAACCTGCAGTGTACTCGTATCTCTGTATCTGCAGTGGATTTATCCAGTAAGTATGCCATTGAACTGCGCGCACAAACTCTAGGAATTTGCAACTATAAGTTCTCTATGCTAGATATATAACGCATATGTATATATATATGTATAGATATAGATATATTGATATAAATGTAACTCCAAACTGACATTGAACAACATAAAATATTTTCGTTATTTTGGTTTCTTTTTCTTGTTTGTTTTTCTGCTTTTATTGTTTCATATTTTGGTTTTCTTGTTTGCAACAAAATGAAAAACAAAGCCGAAAGTAAGTAAGTAGCGTATTTGTGAAGCAATTGCAACTGAAGGCAAAGGAGTAAACCCTGTGGCCTGGTCTAATAATCTTTAACTGACATCCGCTTCAGCTTCAACCAATCTGAATCATCCAGCTAATTTAAATGGGGGAATTTTCGAATTGAAAACTCAGCTGTCAGTAAACAATGAGGGGATTATGCAAGTGCATTGTGCCTGAGTTAATATATTCCTGACAATTTAATTGTATTAATAGCTTAGCTCCTGCAATGAGTTAATTTTTATAAATGCCCATCTAATACGCGGTCGGGTCAAAATATATTGACTCTTGATTTTAAAGCGAATTTGTTTCGTCTGTAGCTTTAAAGACCCTGCAATAAGTTAGCACACATCTAATGGTTGAGGTAGGCCCACTTGGAGCTACACGAATTCTAACACTTGCCACCTGCGAACCTTGGCGAACACGCCCCTGAGCTGCCTCATTTCGATTCCATTCGATTAGATTCGTTTAGTTTTCTGTGGGCCATTGCCGTGGCAACGACACTGACGACGCCTTTCCTACATATTCATGGTATTTTCAGTGGCCGAGCTCGATCCGAACCCAAATCAATGGGTGAAACTTCTTTCACAACTGCAGAATCTATTCAATGGTGGGGCAGTCACAATATCGCGATGACCTTTTCCTCCTTTTCTCTTCCTGCCCCGCCCGAAATCAAAGGGTTAGTGCTGTCAATCGTGCCTGCTTTCCTATTTTACCCATTCACTATTTTTTCCCCTCTTTTCGCCTTTGCTGCTAATTCTAGTCGACGGAGCGTCTGGGCCTGGCGTGCTAATTAGGTAAGTGGCTCCAAGGTCGCCATTAAAAAAGTGAACCAAAGCCAACGAAAGCCAAAACCAAGTTGAAAGAAAAACAAAACAAACCGAACCGAACTGAAGGCAACAACGCAACGCAAATGAGAAATGGAAGTACGAGTGGAAATCGGAGCATAGACATAGATATAGATATAGATACAGATATAGATACAGAAACAGTAATTGGGTAGAGCAGCAGAAGTGGAAGGATGAGCGAAAGTAACTTCTGGCTGGCAAGGCAAACATCCAATTAGAAGGAATACTGAATTTACACAGAAATTTTGGAAACCGAAACACAAAACGGTAAACTGAATTTATAACAATTTTACTTTAGAACAGATATAGATAACAGGTACAGGTACAGGTACAGGTAGTAAGTATATATAGTATAGTATATAGTATATAGAGTAGAGTTCTGGATGTTATTGCATTTGTATTTATCTTATTTTGGATGTAAGCGTGGCGGATTTGGAATGCACTGAGCCACAAATTGTAAATGGATATTCATTGTTTCAGTGTTGGAAACACATGAAAATATAATTATAGCAAACTATGAAACATTTCTTTTTATCGTTACATGTATTTAAAGGCTTTCATGACTAGACGCACAAAAATATTACGCATACGCCACGTATACCGTATAACGAGTAAAAATAAATATTATTATTGAGAAGGCTATTCAAAAATGTATTGGTTGATACAATTTGCTTATCAGTGCTGAAGTGGCTTCGGATTTGGATTGGGATTGTGGTTGGGGTGGTGAATGGTAAGCCGGGCATGGGGTACTTCGTTATGGGGACTTTTAGTAGCATTCTTTTTTTTTGCTTTTTCGTTTGGTTTCTTTGCATTTTTGGCATTTGGCTTGACTTGTGCAAAACACACTGTGGCAACTCAACGAACTTACCATCGTGTAGTGGATCTATCGTGTGTATCATTAGCTGTAACAGGCCGTGGCGGAACTTGGCACCGGTCTGAGTACTACCCGAGGTGCCGCCCCCGCCGCTGCTATTACCTGTGGCGCCCGCATTGCTCGATCCGGGCGGACCCGAGCGGGTTTCGCTGGCCGCCCGCGAAGTTACGGAGCCGCCCGGCTGGGTGGCCATCGATGTTTCCGAGGAGTTGGCCGCATTACCCTGCAGGTGAAGGAACGGAGAGAACGGTGGGTGGCATGGGTTTGCGGTTACGGTATCGGTTTCGATATCGGTATCGGTATCGGGTTTATCGGGTAACGGTTACGGTTTCGGATTGGGTTGATTTTTTTTGATTCGGTTGAGTTTTTCGAGTTGTGGTATTTTTCAGAGAGCGGTGTAATGTTTAGTTATTTTATGGTAAGCATATTTCGAGAAAAAGGTGAAAAGAAGAAGAAGAAAAGTTTATTATTGCAATTTGTATAAATTTACAGTTGAGTGTAGCTTTTGGGTTCTTTTTTTCTATTGTCGCATGTATCTGTAGCTGTTGTTGTAATTGTTCTTGTTGGTGGTGTTGGTTTTGGTGTTCTTGTAGTTGTAGTTGTTTGTGTGACTTAAGAGCTAATCGAATCGGTAAGTGCAAGTTAGTTGGGAGCCAATATCTGAACGGAACTCAGGAAACATCAACTGATAATGTGAACGAAATAAGGAACTCAAGGAATGTCGAAACGGAAAATAAAAGTAAAAAAAACAAACAATCGTTTACCACAACATCCAACAAAATACGTTACGATATACGGACCACTTTCGATCAAACTGTGCAGCTGATCTATGGAGTATAGTACAGTCTGAGGATTATATATCAGAGAGATCGACAGTCAGAAACTTGGGCTCGATTGGCTGTTTGACATACTGTCAAAAGTGGATGTTGAACAGTACAAAATATATAGAGTTTCTGAAAGTTTTTGTGCAACAAAATAAACATATCGATCGGTGCGGAAAACACTTTCATTATTTACAGAAGGAAAGTAGGTGCTAAGGATCGATCTTGGAAGTATTCGGAAGAGACCCCAATGACCTTGGGCTCCTTACAGAGGTGAAACACATGAGTCGTATATTACAAAATCAAAATGATAAGTTCGAAGATGAGGAAACAAAATACGTATAGATGAACACTTTTCGTTTTTGGTCGTTGGAAATTTTCTGTTTTTTCTGTTTGTCTGTTGCAACAGTTTGGTTGGGTTTTATACATACAAGCTTTATATGACTTTCTTTTTGGTTTTCATATATATATTTTTTTTTTTCAGTTGCTTTTGTAAAACAAAATGTACACATATTGTTGTATTTTTTATATCTGTATTGATATTTGTCAAAGCGCAGTGGGAAGTTTTGTTGTATTTCATTTTGCCTTCACTATAATCAAAAAGAAACAGATAAAACACAAAAACATTTGGAATAACTTTGTCGGAGAACTGAAACCGAAAAATACTTTCAATTGATGCGAATTAATAGTTGGCACATTAGCGAAGGAAGCGCAGGCAGATGAGGGGTATAAATCTGATTTTTGATCGCAATCGGTGAATCTAACTAAGGCAATGCAAGGCAAGCACTAACCGTATAGCTACGAATATCTAAAACGTGTACAGAATGAGGCTGGACTAATGGGTGAGTGCTCTAATGAATGAATGGAATCGAAGCGATATGATAATTGGCCTGCCTATACTATATACTGCGTAGTGGTGTAAATGAGTGCGATCGCGAATGGGGCTTTCGTAACTCCCATTCATAAGTCGACTGGACCGAAGCTGAAGCTGAAGCTGAAACTGGTACTGGTACTGGTACTGAAGCAGGTGTAGGGCAAGTCAAGTTCAGACCCGTCACCAGCAGCACCACCATCGCCACCAGCACCACCACCACCAGCACCATCAACATCACCATCTCGACTTAACAAGTGGCTCGTGCCCAGGTGAACTACCCCAGTGGGGCTGATTATAATGCTAATTAATGCCCAGTCATGTTGTTGATCGGCCGGAGTAACCTCTAGCTAATGGTCTGGTTTTTCTGATCCAATCACACTCATTCACGATTCAAACTAATCGCACTCAGCCACTGACGCAAATTTGAAATACACCTGCGAAATATGGTAAATATCTCGAAAGTTTCCTGCTCAAGAGAAAGAACTCTCTCCCCAGATTATTCACCATGAACCTGTTCCAAGCTGCGAGCTGTCAGATCGCACAGATTGATGTCGACAGTACAATTAGACGCAATTAATGATGGACTATCTATATGGGCTGCAGTCGTGTATGAAATCACCCGAAAAGTATTTTATAATATCGAAAATTCATCACCGTTCGGAGACAAAGACGAGGGGCAATTTACCTTACCAAAGCGCTTAAATCACATAATGAATTATTTAAGTTCAGCATGAATCACTCTACGTAACTGAAAAAAAACACTCAATCAAGACTCGGCCCGCAAATTTCGCCTGTCGACCTGAGTGGCTTACCAAATGATCTAAGAGATGCAAATCCGCAAGACAAACAACACGCTCAAGTTGTCACTCAACCTGTTTGCACATTGTAATGTAATTGTATACGATATATGATATATATATATCTCGGAAGAGAAATCAAAATCGGCATAGAAATCGGTCTCGGAATCGAAATAAGTTGGCAACCAGCCAACTTTGGGGTGACCCCCAAAGCCAGTTCCAAGAAATGGCGCAAATATTCCTGGGATCCACTTGTGACGTAGCGCCCATTTGTTTACGCTCCACTAGTGGAATGATAAAGCGTTATCCGACTGATAACCGGCTCAAAGGCCCCACGACAATGCACTCACTGGGGAACCCGAGAGCTTAACTCTGAGCCCGACTTCGGATCTGGCCAGTTCGATTGCGGTCGGTGCTGTAATACGAGGGTTTATATATAGCGCGGTGATTCGCGCGTCGCCATTTAGTCACGAAGCCTTAAGCAAGCTGCATCGGAGCACGAATAGACCGAAGCCTAGGCACCATGTTTCAGAAAAGGATTATCGAGCTGATCACGGTGCTGGTGTATTGGGTGATCATTACACCCACCACCTACAAGTACTGCACGCAGAACGGAATAGTCAGGATGAGCTTCGACACCTTGGTGGGCACTGTGGGCGACCACTGCACCCTGGCGCTCTGCCTGATGATCGGATACGTTGTCTTCTACCGCATCATCATCTTCATTTACATGAAGTTGAAGGTCTGCGACATTCGGATGTGGGACGAACTGCAGCGCGCCAAGGAGGATCCGGAGGCGCATCCGGACAAGAAGTCCTACTACCAGCCCGTCTCCACCGAGAACATCGATGTCGTGGACTCCGGCAAAAAGAAGAGCAGACCAGCGACCCCGAAGATGATAAGGACCATCAGCAATCCGCTGCTCATCGAAAGCGATCTGGCGCGCATTCACATCAAGCACGAAACGCGGCCTCTGGAAAGTGCCACCCTGCCCAGGCTGCAGCAGGCACTGGTCCACCCTAGTCCGAGTCCCAGCTTGCGGAGCGCACCACCAGTGCCTCAAATGCAGAAAAGTGCCACTCTACCGAGCCAGCACAGCAAAGGTGTGATCATGTCTCCCAAGGTTCTGATGCCCAGAACTCAACAGGTGTAGACAGTGAGTGATTAGTGCTTAAAAGTGTGCTCATGATTGCGACTACCAGTCTTAGTTTCTGTGAAATTCTGAATGCAACTTAAGAGGACTGCGTCCGCATCCAAGTATTAGCTACTGCCCAAAGATCGATAATCGAAATAAACGCGAAATTAGTCAATTATCACATTCCAATGTACTCGTCTGCGCGAGCTAAATTAATAGTTTAGTTAGTGAATATATTTATTTCTAGACGTAAGGCATTGTTAACCATGCGTGAATATGCGTGAGCTTATTAAAACTAAATAAATAAAATGCATCTCTTGTAAAAGTAAATCACAGTGTTTTGTGGGCGGTACGGGAACGGAGAGATATATGTTTGAAATTATAAGCCTATATGGATAATTAGGACTCATCCTATCGAAATCCTCATCGAAAGTCGAAAGTGAGGCAGCAGGTCCACCCTAATCCAAGTCGTATCTTGATTTGTGCACCACCTGTGGCCACAAATACAAAGTGAAATACTAGTCCCAACAAGTGTGTAAGGATTCAGGACATGAATTTGGTAAAACCGCCGAGCTGTATTTTTTGAAAAAGTTTTTTAATTAGAGCTAACATAAATTGGTTTTGAATAATTCGAATTAAATAATATTATTAGCAAGGGTATCAAAGGTATTAGCCTGGAGGTGGGGATGAAACGGTGTGCACATGAGGAGTGTTATACAGAGCGAGAAGCATCGATCGACAACGGTCTAAATAAAGGTGTTCTACGCATGCGTACAGATCTCGTTCTCCTCCCACACTCAATCCGTCTCACTCGCTCCCGCGCAGCATGCAGCGGACTGGTTCGAGTCCCGGCTGAAATCTACGATCAACAACAAGATCAAGTTCAAATTCAAGCAGTGTGTGCAAGGTTTCTTTCTGGGATTCACTCGCATGCAGAGTTCTCTTCGGATCGTGTCAGGAGTGTATGCCCTGTGTAGATGTGTCTGTGGGTGTGTGTGAGTGGGTGGGCGTGTCCAGTGGGTGTGCGTGTGGGTGTGGATGTGGGTGTGGATTTACACAAGTCGAAAGACGCATAGCAAATCAAACGGTTGGCTAACAAATGGAATCGAAGCTAAGTACTAAAAAGTAAATTAGAAGTATAACTAGTGAGTAGAATTAAGATTACTTCGATAGCACGAAAGAATAGTATAATTAAAAGAGTAATGATAAAAGTTAGTAGAACTCGGAGGTGCAACGCAGCCGGATATAACCAGTTAGGCAAGCTCTTAAGTCTTAAGCATCTTGGCATCTCAAACATCTTAAAGCACTTTGTAAACTAGCTTTTGTAGGAAAGATATATGCATTGATTGTAGCAATATTTTCAGAATTGCTTTAAGTCCGTTGTACGTTGGATACACAGGGAGCCGAATGAGTTTGGTATTTTTCTAGAAACCGGTAGATTCGAAACGTATTTCAGATACGTGATCTCAGTTTTTAATTTATTCAGGAGGATCTAAAATGTTCAGTTGCAAAAATAATTCCAACCGGTTAAGTAGTACCTTCTCGGTGGGTATTTTCAATTAGACACTCCCCGTGAGAGCGGAAAACCGGTTTTGAGTTGGAAAAACCACAAAGATGGGTCTAGAAATGCCATATGGGTGAGTAGACCCATTTCGAACTGTAATGAAAACCATAGTGGGTCAAGGCGATGAAGGTAAATCTCGCTCAGTATTTCCTGGACCTGATTTCGAATCGCAGGTGAAATTTGAGTGGAATTGGTAGATCCACTCTGAGTGACTGTCGTGCCGTTCAATGCCACAGCAGCAGATACATCTTAGTCACAGACGTTTCTTCGATGATTGCAACACCGATGGCCCTTAGTCATAATGACTTAGCACCTGCTAACTGGTTAAATTGCGGCACGCGCCAAATGCTCGCATGAAACTGAGATCGAGATTGAGATAGGGGATGGGGATGGGGATGTGGATGGGGATACGGATGGATGGGTGGATTAATAGGTGGGAAAAACATACACAAAACGAAAATCAAAAACGAAATTTCGTTCCTGGCAAAGGATCTTTGTTTTCGTTTTAACTTTGATTCTTTTCTTTATTCATTTGGCACACAAAATTTTGGCTTTCAATTTCGCTTTCTCTTTTACGATCTTCTTGATTTACGTTTTTTGTAATGGTTTTTTTCTTTCGTTTCGTTTTTTTTAGTTTTTTGTCATCTTGGAATTTATTACGTTTTAAAACTTTACTGTTTTCGATTTCAATTGAGAATTTTTCGAGATAGAGAGAGAGAGATTTGTTGGAACTTTTGGTTTGATTTGATTTGAATTGATTGATTGATTTGATTTGATCTGAATTTGATTTGTTGCAAAAAAACTTCCCAACTACTTACTGCTGGCATAAGTTGATCTGTACTTCTGACGCGAGTCACCTTGTTTTTGGTAATCATCTTCTTGACGCACGTCTCCACCTGGACGTTCCACTTCATGAAGGCCACGTAGCCGATGTAGATGGTGAACAGGATGAGGGCCTCCCACCAGAAGATGCGGTTGTCCCGGAAGAAGTAGATCAGCACCAGCAAGCTGATGCTGTAGAACGAGCAGTCGCGGAACAAAGGCCACCAGGTGAGCGACAGGACCGTCTTGGAGAAGAGCGCGCACATCCCGATCACAAACAGGATGTTGAACACGGCGGAGCCAACGATCGTACCAATGCCCACATCATCGAACGACACGAAAACGCCAATTACACTGGTGAAGAGCTCGGGGGCACTGCCACCCGCCGCCATAAACGTCGCGCCGGCCACATCGTCTGTGATGCCGAGCTTTTCAATGATTACGTCAAGGGAAGGCACGAAGAATTCATCGCAGACAATGGCCAGCGCCACAAACATATAGATCACCCCAATGATGTGCAGGATGACAGCGCCGTTCTCAAGCTGTTCTTTCGTGAATAGATCTTTCGGGAATAGTGGCGTTTTCGTGGTGGTCGAGTTATCGTTGTGCGTGTCTGCAAAAACATAGGCGAACAAATGCATTAGACCTTAATGGAAAATGGAAAATGGGAAAGTTTTTTACTTTAGTCCTTAGTCTTAGCTCATCACTTTGCCATCTTTTCCTTGTTGTTCAAGAGACAGTTGCTCTCATTCTCGAAAACAACAAGTGCAGAGGAAATTGAATCAAACGAATTCCAGTGAACTGAAAAGTCATTTTCACGCTGGCTTTGTAAAGCAGCAAAAATGAATCGCAGAGCGCCATTCGTCGGTCTTAATGCTACATAAAAAACTGAAAATGGATGAGTTTCTGATTTCAACTTAAATTAAATCACAATAAAATAAATTGCGCCCGTTGTGATTGTTGTAAATCTCTCCCGGGGAAAGTGAATAAAAATAGTTGGGCTTGTAATGCTATTTCCAGGAATTTTCCATCGCGGGGGTATGCAAAATAATCCGTTAGCTACTGCTGGTGAATTTATATGAATAATAATTTGTGCTCTAAAGATATTGCCCTACGCGTACTCTTTCATATTTTCAAATCCAACTAATCAATATTTTTTGCACGATTTTGCGATTATTATCAGCTATGCGGCTGACGAATTGTCATTTTGTCGTCTGCCATTCTGACCTTTTCGATTGCTACCTGTCTATGTAGTAAGTATCTCTATCTGCGATGCGATCTAGCCATCCCCAATTAGACATCCTCAATTAAGTGGCTCGACCTTTTGGAAATCGCTGGCAAAAGTCCCTTGTCGCATGCGGCGCCTTTGGTGTGCGATTTTCATGGCAATTATTTGCAAAATATGCAGCGCGTTTTGCAACAATTAACAAATTGCACTTATTCGCCGCCGACTTCAGCAATCCAACTTGCTCACTCCGATGATGATGATGTTGAGGTGGATGGTAAATGTTTGCAATGTAAATGTTTAACAATCATTTGCACTGTGAGCAATCATTTCGGCGCGTGTGCCAAGTAAATAATTAACGCGACTTTAATCGCTCGCGGTCGTGGAACTGATCACAGCTCCACTGATTCATGTCATTCGCATATTTCTAATAAGTCAGTGCCGATATCTGTGTGTGGCTGCCACCAGAACCAGTATAAATCATCTTGGGATTGGGCTGCACTCTGCTCTCCGCAAATAAGTAGTATACCCATTCAAGGTTTTTTTTTCCAGAGGGAAAGGGTAACAAAGTCACAATGAACTATTTTAATAATGAAATTTTAAATAGCAGCAGACTATTATTTAGATATCTGTGTGTCTTCCAAGTATTTCACTTGCTTATGAGGAAATTAGGAAATATTTTTAGAAGTGGGAGCGCGGGGAACCCAATACCCTACGCCTCTGGTGTTGAGTCGGGATTGACTCACTGTGTTTTCTGTTCGAGAAGATAGACCGAACGGATAGACGGACTTTAAAGAAATTTGCTCTAAAACCGGTTTCAGACAGACGGATTGTCGGCAATTTGCATGCAGTTAGCGGGCCCCACCGCTCCACACCCACTCGACCCACCCACTTTCTGTGGGGGTGGTGGGCGGTTCGACATCGAGCGTGAGCCACAAGTGAATGATTCTTATGAATCACTGGGCAAATGCTTAATGACTGACGACGGTGTCTCTCGAATCTGACTTAATTCAATCGCCTGCAAAAAGGGTTGCGGACTTTTACTGGCTTGTACAGGTAGCATATGTGGGTGGTTTTGGCCCACTCTTAACACCCGATGTGAAGTGGCTGCCCGGCATATCGAACTGGATCATCGGGGCAATCGAAACATATAAATGAGCAGACTTTCTGAGGGCTTACTCATGCAGTTATGAGTTGGTCAATGGGTTTGGGGCACTGCGAACGCTATTGAGACCAATTGAAATCGGTAGAAATTGGCTCCGAAATGCAGAAATATGTACACAAATACCGAATACAGCTACGTGTCATTGAAGAAGTTACCTCACTGGGTGTATGGTAATTATGGCAGAAGATAAGGTTAAATAATGTCTCATACGTGATGCAGGCCGAGTCTTTTCGGAGCTGCAGCAATTCGCAGTTCTGATAAACGTTTATCTTATCCGTCAGATACAGTGCGATTGAATTATTCAAGTGCTATTTAAACATTGCCCTATACAACTGCAAGATGTAAGATAATTGGCTTTGAACAATTCCATCTTCATAAAAATATTATACTGTACAAATATAAGTTTTTGATAAATATATACATATGTATACATCTTCTTTTAAATTGACGTAGTGGCGCTTAGTAAATAATCATGCCATTTCGCTATCTCTTAGAAATGAATCAGAACTATACTCGTAAATAATAAAAAAGCCCTGGAATCTAAAAATAGATAAAAAAAATAACTATCTGAAATAACTGTTGAATTATTTATGCAAAAAGCCTCTATTCCATCAACGTAGACTACGTAAATTTAGGTATCTCGATTTAATAACTAAAAACTTTTAGCAAAACAATGATTACGCCATCGAACCATAATATATAAATGAAAATATTCCATCTATGGAGCCAACACGAGCCCCTCGAAGTCGAGTTGGTCATCAAATTGTTATTGGTTCACTTGCTGAAGGTAACAAAGTAATGACTATTAAATATTATTTATTATTTATTGTATCTGATTGTTTATTGTCCATGTGGGCGTCTGTCCATCGGTCTCCTGCTCGCCACATAAAATACTTTATCAGGGGCGAAGGGAAACCAGTTCCGAGTGCCGCGAACGAAATGCCACAATTTGACTAAGCGATTGCAGTGGTCGTGAGCTCAGAAAGCAGCAGACTTCAGACGGTAGAGATGGCACCGTGACCAATCGCGAAAGTAATTAGCATTCAAAGTGAAACAAGTTTTGGTGCTAATGCCTGCCACATTCAATCGGAGAAGTGGTAGTCTCATTGGCAAAGTTTTTACTTTTATCACAACACCATTGGAAGACTACGTTGCATGATGTCATCCAACAGCTGAGCTCGAGTTAAGACAAAACAAAGAAATATTCTCGAGTTCTGTTTACTCATCTGATAGGAAAAGTTTTAGAAAACGCAAGAGAAGAAAAGGGAAACAATTTTGGGTAAGATGTTTGGAGTCATAGCAATAGAATCCATAGAAACTACATTTGGGTGGTGTTTGCTTGAATATGTAGCTTTAAAGTTGCCAAAAGTAGCAGTTTCTTAGTGAACAACTCTGCTGCGGGAAGCTCACGACCCCATCCTCATGTGGACTCGAGCCCACTCACACACAGCCAGCGGATACGTGATATGCGTCATGCGAACGAGACGCGTTGTTTGCGGAGCAACCGAAGTCGTAACCAGAGAACAAAGCCACATCAGAATGCTCTGCGGCTGTCGCCACTCGCAGTGCGAATTCGCAATCAGTTTGCAAGCGGGAACCGATCCATTCAGATGGCAGCCGCAGTAGCCCAGAGGTACGGCCAGGAGGAGCTCTTCGTGAGCCGGGCCACAATCCAGTTGCAGTTGCCCCAGGGCGGAGCCAGTGCGCCCGTCTTCGAGTGGCGCACAGAGGTGACCACGCCCACGCCCACGCCCACGCCGGCGGCCGTTCCCGTTCCCGCCCACGAGGAGAAGTGCATTAGTGGACGCCAGAGCACAGTAGCTGCCACGCCCAAGAGCAATTACTACACGCCCCCGCGAATCCTGGGCACGGAGGCGAAGCGCAAGAATCTGCCACAAACGTTGGGCAACTTCTTCGAGGCGGAGCGCTACTCCAGCGCCTGGAATCGCGTGACCAAGTAGGCTCCTCTGCCAGCACCAAACTGAGTTCCAATCCCGAGACCCAACCGTAGGGAGGCCCTAATCGATTAACCCATTAAGTGCCAAGAGCTGCAGGATAGTGAAATTCCATTCCGTTGCCAAAAATTCCAATTCATGCCCCGAAATTGCTTACACGATGGGAGTGGGAGCATAGAAATGGCCGCCCAGGGCTGAACGAACTATACTATATATATATACATATATACTTGTATATATAAGCGTCCCATGAATATTTATGTGCCACCCCTGTACCCTGATAATGCAATAAAAGTATTACTTGATAGATAAAGCCGAATTCTCTGAGCAATGTCGCCTTCCCAAGGGGTTAAACTTCATTAGGGTCCGATAAGCAGCGGCCCAAATGACTTTGGGACTTGGTAGCGGATTTTCAGCTTTCTGCTACGTCATCAGTGTGCATAAATCACGGCTGAACAAACGCACGAAAATTACACGGAGTCAAAGAAAAACCGCACGCCTGGCCGGAAGTTCATTATGGTAGCTCAAAGCGGAAGTGCCAGCTACACACACACACAGAAACACACTGATATACTACGCTCATATAAGGAATCTGGTGTCCGCGCGTTTTCACGCTCTCTGAGCCGCGGGAAGCGGGCCCTGCCGTGAAAGCACCTGCTAATTTATCAGAGAGACAGCGCCCTGTGGCACGGGCCAAAACGCTCCGCAGAGAGCGGCCAGAGTTTCAAGGTGGCTGGCGAATCGATTAGCCAGCCAAACAGCCAAGCAGCCAAACAGCCAAACAGCCAAAATCAGAGCAAGCCAAACGTGCAATGCACATGCAAGCCACCGCCAGCGGCTAAAACTCAGGCACACTGCGAGAAAATACCACTTGGATTGGTCATCATTGCGATATCAGCTGCCAAGTGTTGTCATTTAAGCAGCAGAATAACCCCATAATTAGTGTGTGAATCATTTTTAAAACTCAAGCATCGCATAAACTCAATAATAAACACATAAACTCTTTTAATAGGGAACTCAGAAAACAACACGATGATAAAGGGTTAGAATATTTTAAGACTATTAGGCATTACGTGAATGATAATAAATAATGACAAATGATAAAATAATAACTATAATAATGTTTTCGCTGCTCTTGGGCTTATGGCCAATTGCTGATAAATGCTAATTTGCAAGTTCTAAATTAGCCCAACTTGCCTCGTGCTTCTCTCAGTGCACGCAGGGTTGTCAAGTGGCTGTTGAATCAATGCAGGCTGCGAGAAGCGCCTCGTTCGTCCTGGCGCAGTGCGCCCAATGAGGATGGGGCAGAAGCTCTTAAGGATTGCCATAGGAGGTTTATCACGGCTATGAGCAGCTGTCAATGAAGGTTGCTCGGTGGCGTTTCTTGCCACCTTCAAAAGTTACGGCGAGGCGGCCATAACTTGGCACAGTTTCGGGCCCAGAGCAGGCACACACACAAGCACATACACACACACATTCAGATACACACCTACACCTACACACATGAGGGGGCCATGTTTTAGCTAATCAAAAGCGGCTCTATCCCCAGGGCAAGCCCGATGTGGACCAAGCCCAAAGTGCCAACATTAGAATGCTATGTGCTTGACCCAATTTTCGCAGGGTGCTAGACCCCCGAAAATCGTAGTGGGAAAGCTTTAATTTAATGGGAAATGTTTCTTAAGCTAATTTTCGCGTTTATAAATTTATAGCAGTTGTTAAAGTTTGTCGAGGCTATAACTTTGAAAACTCTGTTGAAGAACTTCGTTTTCTCTGCTTGTTACAAGTAGGTGCTGTAAAGTTAAGAACCATTAAAGGCATGTGTTGATAATAAGCTTAGTTAATTAACTTTGGAGAATCGCATGAAACCCCCACATATGAACAAGGTTTTCCAGAAAGTGAGCGGATAGTTTGATGAGTCAACAAAGGTTTTTCTTGGGCCAAAACGGTTATTAAAAACAATTGGGGCTTTCCCAACTCAACGAAAACCTCTTATCCATTATTCCGATCTATCAAAACTTTTAAATTAAATGTAGAACTATGTCGAAATTTCGAATCCCATTTATTTGGTGACTTTCCTATAAAACTACAAATAATCCATCGACAATAATTAATTGCGGTTTTTGGACATAACACATAAATTGGAAAATCTGAAAAGATTCATAAATACTCGTAGCTCTTTTCACTAATCTAATTTGTAGCAGACATAATCGTTTTAGCAAATTTCAGTGTGAATAGATTCATATCTCCTACTAATGTGTGAATAATTTGTTTTCAGGCAGTCGAAGCTAGTCATAAATATCTTGAAATCGTTTCACCTCGCCGTATTAACATAATAAAAGCAAACAAAATTCGAGATCTAGTATGTTTTCATAGCATTCGAGAAAGATTTGCTTACGCAGTTCGCTGTGAATGACACTCGATACCGTTGTGCGATTGCATTTGCTAACCGGTTTTCTAAGACTTTGACCACAAAACTGCGGATCGCATGAATCATGCGCGATAAGGGCGATTCATTGATATCCAAGTGCCAGTGCGTGATTCATTCGTGACTTGGATTCAAGGCGGGATACCCAATCCTGTGGGTTTAGCGCACCTGAGCTGAGTCAGTTGCAGCTGCTACTGAAATGAATGCCGAATCAGAGCCGCCAGACAGGAGGGGCAATTAGTGGCCACAAGGATGTAAGCCCCAGCACTGGCCATGGGTGGGTGGTGGGATATGTCAATAATTAAAAAGGCGGCCAAATGTTGTCATTTCAGCTCGGACCGAAAAGCACGGCAAAAGCACAGCGACACAGAAAAATACACAGTTGTGGGCAAAAAAAGAAAAACCGAATGGCTTGGAGGCAGGAAGGAAACAAACTTCCTGCCACCCACACTAGCGTGTTTTTCTGCTTCTGCTTCTGCTTTTGCTGGTTGGTTTTTCATCGTCTCTCTGGTGGCTTTTAGCATGCAACTCACACGTCCTTGCCAGGACGCTTTTGTTGATGTTGTTGCTGCTGTTGTTGGCATTTTGATTTATCGATTTAAATTTCAGTGTTTAAGGCGCTGTGCGTGCTCGTTCTGCTGCCTTCAATTTCGTGGCTTCTAGTCTCGCACTTTTCCGCTGCCGCCATTTCGGTTTCGTTTTTGGGGGTTTTCCAGCTTTTCTGCTTTTCAGCTTCTCCACTTCTGTTTCTACTTCTTCGTCATCTGTTTCTGTTTCTGTTTCCGTTACTGTCTCTGTATTTTTGTATTTCTCAATCATTTTTCAAAATGTTTGCCTACTCTCCAACACACGCCCGCAAAAAGTTAAACCAAGTTTTTGGCCGCCTGCCGTTTAGGTCGAGGTCTTTACTTAACTTTATATTCGCCTTCCTTTTGCTTGTTTTTATTTTTTTTTTTCAGGGTCTGCCCCGAGCCACCCACCCACCCACTCACCCACACACCCATGCACCCACAAAACGCCGACGTTGAGAGCCTGAAACGTCGTTAACAGCCACGTTTGCGTGTGCTGGCTGAAGCACACACACACACACACACTAGCGCACACACTCGCACACTAGCGCACATACTTATACTATATTTCACCCAAGAGTGTGTGTATTTTTGTTGTTATTATACGGAGAGCGCGCTCGCAATTTGGGTCGATGGTAAAATAGAAAAGCCAAAAGCAAGGCAAATACACACACACACACGCACACCCGTGCACACTGGCAGGAATTTCTATATGTACGTATGTGTATATAAATATATATATAAAATTTCGAACAAAGGTCGCTGGAGAGAAGACCAGTGCACATTTATATAGAGGTAAGTACATACATACACACATATAAATAAACCTATATGTTTGTAAGTGCGAGGGTGACCTGAGTTATGTGCCCGCTCTGTCTGCATTATTTTTCACTGTGTGCGTCCTCCGCCGCTTTTTTCGTGGACTTTTTCCCGCTAGTTTCATGTTAATTGCTCGTGGCCTGTCGCTTGTTCCAGCAATCTGCGTTAATTTTAAAGCCTGATTTATACACAACAAATGCTGTACTGGATGTAGTTGCACTTGTACTTGCGCAATTGCGGATTGCAGTTTTTTAATTCGCAGGACAGTAGTCCTTCGAGTAGTTTTGTGTGTCACGAGTGCTCCGATTTGGCAGCTTTATTTGCTTGTGCGGATGGGAGCAAATAGGAATGGGAATGGGAATGGGAATGGAATGGAATGGGTGGCCAAAGGCAAACAAAGCGCTGGATTGGATGGGATTTACCGCGTTGGCTTATCAAGGCTTGACATCATCAACATCCATACCCATCCGGAGATTTGCCCGTTGACACCGTGTCCGTCCTACCCATTTTATTTAAACAAAGGAGTCAACTGTAGTCGATCACAGCCCTTTTGGCCCCAAAACTTTTCCAGCTGGGCCAGCCACTTTGTGACAGGACTTGGCTCGGTTGAGTCATTAAAATGAGAAATGGCTCCGGGCTCCGTGTGCAATGTTGGGTTTAATTGTTGGCCAAAATGTGACTGCGCCGCTCACGGGAGCAGAAACACAGTCCGCAGTCAGAGGACGGGCTGTCTGAATCAGGGGCATAAGGTAGAAAGGTTGCTGGGGCACAAAAGGTTGCAAGGTGCAAAATGTGGAAGCTGGAGCAGCAGCTTGACTTTCGCTGATGTGGCACAGCCACAGCCACGTATATATATATACGAGTATATTCACATATGTGAATGTTTGCTGGGCGCACGTTAACACGCTCTGGGGCGCATACAGAAAAAAAAGTATATTTCATCGTCCAACTGCAGACAGTTGTTCCATTATGTTCATTTGCAGTCGCTTATGCTGCGGCCAGGAAATTTATGTTCGCCATATTACGTATACGCAGCGTACAACAGTTTTGCGGAAATTACTGTGGTCCTTTCGCCTCAGTGGCGAGCACTTCATGCATTGCGTTACGTATACGAGATGTGAGCCCATGAATATCGCTCATACGCAGTGTGGTTGCAAAATAATTGCCACGGATGCGGATACCGTCAACATCTTACTTCGTAAAGTATCATGGGAATTAACCTGCCAAACATATTTTAGAACTCTTCACGCTCTTGGTCAAATGTGTGTTTTTTGCTGTATTTTTTAATTCATACCATTTTTCAAATTGCAGTGGATAACGTGTGGGCGAAACGAATATGTACCTGCAACCCCATTAAACATTTGTCTGATTCCGGGCCTTGAACTTTATACGCCATCATTTCTCAGCACTCACACTCGATTCCCACTCATCGATGCCCCATGCAAGGCAAATTCAATTTGTCTTCGCTGAAAAGTTTGACACAGGGAGCCGCCCAGCTGAAAACTTCTCGCCCCCGAAATCGAAAGGCTCATTTAAATGCGAATGCCATTAGTCAAGCAGCACCCACACACTCACGCCCAGATGCAAAATTCCACATACGATATATGCGCAGGAATGACTTGGGATGGGATTGGGATTGAGTGCAGAGTAGAAGGGAGACTCACCATTGATACCACGTTGATTGGCCGCATTATCCTCGTCGGAGCCGGGCACTGCATTGGAATTGAGCTCCGGATCCTGTTCCTGGTCCTCCTCCAGGCCGAACATCTGCTCCCCGGACTGGAAGGGGTACATGATCTCGGCCTCGTCCTCGCCGGACGTTTGGGAAGGGGCGCCCACTCCGCCCAGGACATCGTTGTGGTTCTGGTTGTGGTTCTGGCTTGGATTGTTGCTGTTGCTGCTGCCGCCGAAATGCTGCTTGGCCGACTTGGGCTTGGCGGCATCTCCCAGTCCCAATCCCTGGGTGGCTAGGCAGAGCAGCAGGATGCTGTAGATCGGCAGGCGGAGGCAGCGGCGGCTTCTGCAGCGGCTGCTGCTGCTGCTGCTTGGATGGAGCAACTGCTCCGCGGAGGCACCACGAGATGATGTTGCAGATGCTGCAGATGCTGCAGGTGTTGCTGGCAGCTCTGCTGTTCTGCTTCTTGTCTTTGCTTTCGTTATTGTTGTTGCTGATATTGTTTTTAATGTTAATAATACTAAGCGCTTGAAAATATTTACACACTCGTCCAGTATCGTAGCTTGGTGTTGTTTGTTCATTGCCAGTTCAAAGGGGGCGTGGCCTCGTAGGCGCCCCCTCCGCCGGCGACTGTTGAAGTCTATCGTTGTGCTGCTGGTGCGGCTGCGGCCTGCGGACAACATGTTGTCGCTGTGGCACCAAGTGTTGCTGCTGTTGCGGCTTGCAGTTGCGGCTGTTGCAGTTGCGGCTGTTGCAGTTGTTGCTGCTGCTGTTGCAGTTGCAGTTGCTGCTGCTAAGGCTCCATGATCTTTAGCTGCGGCTTTCTGAGGCAGCTCCTGGACCGCTGCTCCTCCCACTGCTGCTGTTGCGATTGCTGGTTGCTGCCTCTGCTGTTGCTGTTTGCTGCATGTTGTTGGCTGCAACATTGGACCCGTTGGATTAATGTTGTTGGTTACTTGTTTGATCGGTTTGTTTGGTTTGTTGGTTTGTTGGCTTGGTGTTATGTCGTTTCACTTGCAAAACCGTTTGTTGTCGTTGTACGCTTTTGATTAGACTGAGTTTAGGTTACAGTTTCTCGCTCGCTGTCAGATCTAAGCGATTCATTTGTATCACACAACTTTATATATACACTATACATAAATAACAATTAACACGGAACGGAGAGAGCGGAGAAATTGGGAGCGGGCGCGGTTGCGGCTGCGGCTGCGGATGCGGATGCGGATTCAGGTTGCTGTTCCCGCTGGTGTTGCTGCTACATCCGCTGCTGGCGAGGCTAACAGGAGCCTCGGCATTTCCATTTCCACGGGGCGCGCTATTCCCCTAGATTTCCACACACCCCCGCCTCTTGTGGTACTTTTCACGCCACCTTTTTTCAGGCTTTTCCGTTTCACTTCACGGCTCCCTCACGGCTACTGTGCCACTGCTGCTGCTGCTGCTGCTGTTGCTGCTGCGCTTGCTGCTACTGCTATTCCTGGCCATTTGTCTGAGGCTTTTCCGCTTTTCCGCTTTTCCGCTTCTCCGACGCGCTCTGTCCCTGTGTGCGTGCCCGAGTGTGGAAAAGTATCCCTGAGTGGCCGCTGCGAAAGCTGGAGCTCAATCTCGGTATCGGTAGCAGTGTCGGTCTGCAGCTGGACTACATCACGCTGCGCACTCCGCTGGCGTTGTGAGCGCTGGCTGCCCGAGCCTCTTTTTGAGCCTGGCCAGGAGGTGGGCTGGAAAACCGACAGCCTACGAGGGCCGAGGACCGAGGACCGAAGCAGGACCAGGGCCGACCAGGATGCGAGCCTGGAAGCTCGGCTTTCCTTTCCAAAACTGCTTGAGGAGTGAGGGAGAGAGTACTGCTGCGCCTGCGTCGCTTTTGTTTACATTTTCGAAGGCTTCGCTCGATGACTGTTAAGGCTCAAAGGATGCCTGTCTGTGGAAGGAAAGTGGCAGGATATAGTTAAATTTGTTGGAAGAACATTTAAGCTAGTTTGTAATTCTGACAAACTATACAGATTGTGCTACAAACAGCGCTTTTAGATTAAGCACAATGTTGCTTCCATTCCATTCACACACTATTGTTATAGAAAGCCAGTTTATATTTTTTCATAAATGGATTGAAAATACATATGTTATGTTCAATTACAAAAATAAAAAAACAACTATCTCAACTATCTCAAATAAATGGCAAAAATGTACCTTTTTAAAATATTTCTTTTAGAGAATATACTTTTCCTCAAATTAAATGTAGTTTTATTATAGCTATTTCTTTATTGTTTAATTTAAACGCAAACATATTAAATGAAGTAATTAAAACCTTTTTCACATTTTTTATACTTTTAAGAGAAGCAGTTTTACTACCCAATTTGGCTCGCACGCTCGTTACCAAAAAGTGTCCGATTTCTTAACAAAATCATTGCAAGCTCTCTTGGCCAACTTTTCTCTTTGCCATTTTCCAGGCCCTCTCTGGAGCGCAATTTTCCGCACTCTCTATCGCAATTTTCCTGTCCCGCTCTGGATGCCGCTTATCTGCTAGGCCTTATCGCTTTTCTCACGGCTTTTTCTTTGCTTTTGCTTTCGTTCGCTGCTGTGTTTGTTGTTTTAGCTTACGCTTACAATTTTTACTTTCATTTAGGTTTAGTAGGTGACTCTCCACCCCCACCCCCACCCACACCCCGCCCACTTTCCCATTTCCCAGCCCACCGAGCGTTTTTTACTGCTTCTGGCTGAATGTGCGGTTATGTTCATTGTTATGCTTTGAGTAGCTCCCGCTGCTTCTAGTCCTAGTCCTTTCTTTCTCCTGCTAATCCTGCCCAGCCCCGCTGGCCCATCCGCTCCTTTTTGTCCTTTTTCCACTGTTATTTTTAGCCGTAGGCCAGAGTTTGTCCAAGAATTCAACCGTGCGGCTTTGTTATTAATTATGTTTTTCCCCCGCTATGTTTTGTGTGTGTTTTTTTTTAGAAAATTGCGTAACATTTTTGCGCTTTCTTTGCTTTACATAATTGCCCTATCAATTTAAAGGAACCAAAGGTTATTTGATATTTTCTGTATAGTTCATTTTTAGCGACTTGAAACCGAACTAAAAGCCTAACTCAAGAAATATAACTTTTCTTGGATTCCTCCAGTATTACAAACTTGTATAGTAGACTTTAAATGAATACTTGTGTAGAACACATGCCACATCCATACAATACACGAAGGAATGCAAAGGAATGTCTATGGTCTTTCATATGAACACTTTTAATTTGATGAATGGCACTAAAAGCTGTCGCCTAATTCTAGAAAAGCAACGCTTTTATATAATTTGTAATAGCTACTAGGAAAGGGGTCAGCTTCTAAGCCCCATAAAATCTACCAAGATCCCATTAGTCGCGCTTTAAGCCAAGCCAAAAGAACAGGGCCACATGGAAAGTACTGGCTAATTGTTATATCATTTGCTGGGCAACTTTAAAGGGGCGGGGTCGCTTTAAGAACGGGGTCGAGTCCTCGTGACTGCCGAAAGTCTGACTGTTAAATGTTCTTCTTGACTTGACCAGTTGAAAAAAGAAGGCAACCTGAAAGCGTGAAGAAACTCTGCACACTCACAGATACACGCACACACACACAGGGCAGAGGCAACGTTTTGACCTCTTTATGAAAAAGGCCTCAAGCACGAGAAGGCTCAGACTCACACACACCAATGCACAACAAGCACGAACGGGGCTGCCATTAGTGTTTCTGCACTCACACAGACGACCGAAAAACGCTTTGCCCCGGCCGCCCCAGCCCCCCTCATGCGCCCCATCATTTTTGTGGCTTTTTATTGCTTGATTATATAAAAATTGGCTTTTGTATATCATATTTTGTTCACCGCAGCGGCGATGCGTTCATTTTGTCTCCCCTAAGTACGCCAGGATTGGGGCACTTTCGATTCTGAGGTGAGCTTTTTCGATTTGGCTTAAGTTTCTCCTTTGATTTCAAACTGCAATCAATTTGCCAACACCTCGCGCACCAACACACGCACACACACAGCGCACACGGTTAAAAGTTTCTGCACACACATACACCGAGCAGGAGGACTTTTGGACGCACCATCCGCTCCTTGGTCCTGCGAGGATGTTGTCAGCACAGCGCCCGAAAACGATTTGGGTTCCCTGGCAGGCGACCACGAGTCCGGAGGCCACACACGAAGTCGATGGCGGGCCGAGTGTGAGCCGAGCTGGGCCGAAAGGATAACGACTTCCAGTCCGCTGGAGGATGGGGCGAATTCAGCTGGCCAGGATCGGGTTTGGTTTCAGTTTCAGTTTCAGTGCTAGTCTCAGTTTCGATTTCATTTTCATCTGCGGACCTATATCCACGGGCATCGCTTCGATTTGTAATTAATTAATTTACGACGACTTCCGCTCGTACATATTTGCATTAACAACCCATCAGGACGAGCATTCTGTGCCGTCGCTCTCGGGTTTCCAGTTTATAGCATACTTTCGGGGGTACGAGAGCCGCCAAAAAGAGAGCGAACGCGCAGCTGTTTTCCACTCTAGTTCTCCACCCCACCCCAACCCACGCCACCCCACCTCACGCCACCCACTCAAACAAACGCCAAAAGAAAGAAAGAAATAAACGTTTGTGCATGCGTTACAAGCACCTATACAGACGCAACGAATACACACACACGCGGACACTCTCCACGCACAATTGTATTTTGATTATGCCCGGTTTTGGTACGCCGCATACCTCGGATACTTCTACGCACAGCAATGCCAAATGCCCGACCCCAAATCCAGTAGCTCCCCTTTTCTACCCCCCCTTATCTACCCACGCTCCTCACACCGCAGAAAACCCAATCCAATCCAAGCCAAGCCAACTCAACCCTACGCCCCACTGATAGCCGCCAAGTTTGCCGTCACATCAAATATTTATTGCGACAAGGGAGCGAAACAAGTTGGAACGAAATAGTCGAAAATTCGGAATTTAAAATTTACCCGCAAGTACTGCAGAACTTTCTGAGGCAGCAATACATTAAAGTCGACAGCGCGCACCTCAATGAAACTGGTTTGATGCCTTTAGTACAATAAGTCGGTTTCCTACTGAGAAGCCACCTAAAGACACATTTGCATTTTGTCTAGATTGAAGATAGTCGTCTTCCTTCCCAGAAATATGGAGAATCAATCCATTCGTTTGCCAAAAAATGTAGTTCACTTACAACTTTGCTTGAGTCAACGGAACTAAACCGGCAGGATACGGCGTAGTAGCCTGACCAAATCCAGAGTTCAAAACATTTTAATCGCCATTAAGCCATTCATAATTTAATTATAATAACTTATGCAAGCCGTGACAAGAGCACAAATTGAATCGGCTATAAATATGCGTGGAAGGAAGCAGCATCAACTCAAAACCAAAATGAATCTCAGACTGGGTGTTCTTCTATTTATGGTTTACAACTTTGGCGTGAGGTGGTCTTTTGCGAGGACGGGAGGAGAATAACGTACTTTCTATTGATTTGTTGAACTAATAAAAGCGGTTAAAATTAAAAAAATTTGAGAAAATATAACAGTAATATTATTTTATTCACCAAATAAAATGCCATGTTTGGTACTAGTAAGTATACACCCCAGTGCACTTGAAGATATGGTAAATACATAAGTAACGCGCAGTATTTCAACTTAGGAGCGGTTCTTAACAGTACTCATATTCCTCATTGATATTCCTTATATGCTAGGACCACCTTTCCCTGAGACGAAGGTTAGAACCGCGGATAGAATAGGATCGCCCTGCCTCGCACTTCTACTTTCTAGGTTTTTAGCCGACCATCCGTGGAGACCAGCTCATCGACTGGTGGAAGGACCTCAAAGGACCATTGATATAAGTGTCTTAAGTTCTAGGAGCGCAAATAGAGTACAATACTCAATAGAGTACAAGACAATAAGTACAGCAAATTAATGTGTGATAAGTTTAACGAAAATACCTGAACATCAGGAGGAGATATACGGAGAACGATACTCCCGAGGTGGTCGTGTCGTGTCCTTCAAACATAAAGGTCCTCCTCGTAGATCTCCTGCCGTGTGAGAGGACCACAGTCGATGGTGAAGGATAGCAGGGTGTCCAAAAAGGCCAACTTCTTTCGTGGCAAGGATGGCCCTAGTTAGGGTATTGCGAAATTGGCGATGCCGAACATCAATTTCAGGTTTTTGAATTTGTTCTTACTTTATATTTCTGGTTAAATGGACCTTGTACTTATTTGTTTATCTATCAGTCAGACGGACGGCAGACGGATTGAATAAGTAATCTTCCGTCACATGCCAGGCCTCCAAAAATGGTCATTAGCGATTAATTCTTCGGGTAGTCAAGCATCCCAGATCTGGACACGACAGGCCAAAACGGAAATGCGACTGGCCGAAACAAATGGTGGAAGTCAGAAGCCACTAACAAAAGAGGTATAACTCTTATATTCATAACAATGGAATTGGCAGGCGATTTTCTCAGTCTCATCCGACATGGGCATATGTTTTTCGGCGGAGGCTGCTTAATAAAGCATATAATATGAGAATTAATCAAGGACCACGCATTGGCTTTTCGGCTGCGTGGGAGAGCTGGACCCGTGACACGTGTGCCATGCAGAATTCCTTCCTGGGAGTTGACTCCATGACTGTCGGGAAAAATTGCCCACACAGAAACATTTGCCATTTCACGATTACATCTCCATGGGCTGGCAATAAATCAAATTGGCAAACGGAAAGAAAAACAGAGAAAAGTTTAGCACACTGTGAATGGCTTTTATGGCATTTGTTTGGGGCCTGTAATTCGCTTGACATCTCAATGCTGCTGCTACTGCTGCTGCCGCCGCTGCTTAATGCTTAATGCCCAAACTTATAACGGGCGAAAATTTTAATGAATGACGTCGTCATCATCAGCAGCTGAAGCCGAGAGTGGCAAGGACGTCGGCCCACCCACCACCCGCTCCCCTTTCAAGGACATGTTTGGGCGAGCAGCAGCGGGCAAACAAACAATTTCAATGAACTTTGATAAATCGCTGCGAGGCGAAGGACGAGTCCGTATATTCCGTATACATATAATGTACGGCCGGGCATTCTGCTTGACTGGGCTTCCTATTTCCGGTTCCCATTTCGGTTGCTATATTTGGTAGTGCCGCTGAATGCTCAGTGATTATGTAAATTGTTCGGCCCATTTGCAGCAGCTTCCTCTGTCGATGGCTTTATGTTTATTTTTATTCATCGATGGCATCTATTAAAAGAATATTCCGCGCAATCCCAGTTGGCCTATGGCTTTTAAACATAACGAACCCTTGAAAACTTACAGAGCCCCATTCGCTTCCTCAAATATTAGTCGAGCAAACGCAACTCCCAACCGGAGATTCATTTTAGTTAATTATTTCTGGGCTTATCAAGTGGGGATCACACATGTCGTATACGCAATTAGCAAGCTGAGAACGCAATCGCTGTCTTTAAACGAACAGCAATTCCCCAAACTCGCTGCCTCATTATCCCACTTTTCCGCACGTTGCCTGTTGTCATTGCCGTTGTCTTGTTTAATGCATTTTTGCCTTCATGCGGCTAAGAGGAAGTAAATATTGCGCATACGCCACGTTGTGAGCACGCAATGCTGCATGGCGTGTTTGGCTCGTTCGGAGGCAGAGAGAAATGGCTGGAAGTAAAGAGCGATGGCTACGGTGGAGGCTAAGCTTCACTACAAATTTAAGTCAATGAAATTAAAAAAATTATAAAAATTAAATAATATTATTATGTTGGACTTCGTTACATCCAAAAACATAATGTATTTAAATCAATTTTTTATTATTTACAAATATTAGTATTGTTTATTAGTCAATAATTATAGTCTCTAAATTGAATTTAGATTTTACAACCAAGAGATAAAAGAGTCACTATATTTTAATTTTGAGCACCTTGCGATTCCACCGTACTTGGCCAAGCTAAAGGAACCGCATTTACTGGCCACTTAAAAGAGAGAACTCCCATGTGGCCAGCCCATTCCCATTTCTGCCCCTTTTCGGGATTCGCAAAACTATGCAAAAGGCTGAGTAGCCACTGTACCCTCCCCCCGCCTCCTTATCGGGCCATAAAAAGCTGTATAGAATGTTGCAATCAGTTAATTTAAGTGCAGGCCAGGCCAGCACGAACAAAGAGAATGGGAAGCAGCAACAAAAGGAAAAATGGAAATTTCAATGCGAAAATATACACACAAGCGAGTGTACTTGTGTGCGTGCGGCTGTGGGTGTGTATGTCTAAGCAAACACGCACAGTGGGCCACGCACAGTGGGTCAAGTTCCGTTTCGAGTGGATTCATCCCCAAAACGAAATGAATTCGCAGTGGACTGAGCCTCAGGAAAAGTTAGGGAAAAGTGGGAGGAATGTGGGGGAATTTTCCTCGAGGCACACACTGGCACACACAAACACACACACACACATACAAGCGCACAGCAAAGCACAAGTGGCTACTAATGCAAATAATTTACAAGTAGCAAATGTGGGCGGCAAACGCCAGCAGCAGATTCAGCAGCAGCCAACGTCAGCAGAGACACAGAAAGGACAAAACAAAAATGGGAAAGCGAAAAAATAAAGGAAAACACACACAAAATAAACGACAGTCGACGAGGCAAAATGTCGTCAACAAAAAGAAATATAACCAGAGGAAGGCTAGCTTGGAAGACCTAGGCTTAGAATACCCTAAAAAGTCTATTCTTGCTGAAGATGTCGAAAGGTATACTTCAAGTCCCTATATATATGGATCGGCATACTGCTTCTTAAAATAATGAAATAAAACTATGGGAAAATCACTAAGCCTAAAACAGTTTACGTTCATATTTAGGATGGCGGTGAACGAAGTGTGCGCAGGAAAATGTCCTTTGCAAGGGTATTAGGCAGTAGTAAAAAAAGGCATGGAACTGGGGAGGGGTGCAGGGGGCAGGAACCCGGGGCAAGGGGAAAAGGAAAAGAGGGCAATGCTGGGAGCACCGAGGCTCAAGCCAGAGGAGAGGACTGAACGGAAGAGAAGGGCGAGTAAAAAGGACATTATGCGTCTTTTCACATTTGAGAAAAGGACAAATTTGTAAGGACAAGTGTAAGTGAAGGAAACCGAAACAAACACACAGGCACACGCACACTCAGCAGATACCAAT